TTATAGATCAATGCTTCAATACGTTTTAAAATCTTAAATCTTTTAAATCAATACTGAAAAAATATGTTAATGACAGACTTGAGCTCCTCTAAATTACAGACTTAAGCTCCTCTTAACAGGCTTTTGAACAAAGAACTGTATTTCACAATAGAGGAAAGAGAAAAAAGTACATCCATCAGCAATACCTACAGCAAATGTGCAGTGATAAATTAAACTTCATCATATATCGTCCATTTTAGATCCATTAATGGTTAAATAGACCCAAAGGGAAAATGATAGAAAATGAGTCATTAAAATTGAAAACGGTCGAATGATATGTTAGAATAATGATCTATGGAATAATGAATTATTAAAAATACTGTAAATGTTCAGAACCATGTCAATGTCGTTACATGTATGTTACAGCATACAAAGGCAATGTTAATTTTTTGTCCACAAGGAGCTTCAAAGCAACGTGCAGGTAATAATAAATAAATATTCCACTCCATACGACAAATATCACAAATTCCAGTTGAATATTGATCTATTTAATGGCAATCTCGTGTATTTCTAAAGAATGCAAGCTTTAGTTCATTTACCATGAATTGTATACATACACGTGGACAATATGTCTGGCAAAAAATGCAAAGAAAATGTCTATTCTTGAACACGGCATTGTTAATGTAGCTGTGCGATGAAAAAAATCAGAAACTGATATTATGTGTTCGACATCTGAGTTCTCTGATCTACTTTAAGTTAATTGATACTACACACAATATCTAACACTAGCATTGGTGATTACCGACTCAATGCCAGTCTGAATATATACCTATAGATTTTATACTTCATTGTTTAGACACAACCGAGGACTTGCGCACCAGTAAAGTACAAAAATGTTTTAATGTAAAAATCTGTCCTTCTACATGGCATTCGTGTTCTGAAACTTTAATCGATTAGTAGAAGTCATGGATCATTGACGTATATGAGTCATCAACTGAAAAATGAAAGAAATAACATCACCAGGACAACGACGTTAACAACAGGACCATGATGTCAACAACAGGACAATGACGTCAACAACAGGACAATGAAGTCAACAACAGGACAATGATGTCAACAACAGGACCATGATGTCAACAACAGGACCATGACGTCAACAACAGGACAATGACGTCAACAACAGGACAATGAAGTCAACAACAGGACAATGACGTCAACAACAGGACAATGAAGTGAACCAAAAGAACAGTTGTTTTAACACAAAAATGAACACATTGGATATCATATGATATTAAGCATTCAAAATAATGGTTATGCTAAAGAATATTTTCATTGTCTAATTTTCATTGTCTAATCCCCGTTATTAAAATTGACACTCTAGAAATTTATTATAATGAAGATTAGAAAGGTGATATTTACTGACTTTTACGTCATTAGTTTGTCGCCATTTTGTTGTCATATTTCATCACCTGTATGGTATGCTATAACGACGAAAATTGGAATCTGATACTGTGATTTTGTTATATCTTCAACAGTAATAGAAACAGTGGTTCACTTCTTAATAGCAATCCGTGTTTCTCGTTGTTTGTTTATATCACAATCGCTATGAAAATACTCTACCGAAATTGGTAAAATAGAATTATATCTACTGATGTATAAGTCGATCACCCCGTAAGTTTGTTTATTTTGTAACTTTATTATAATAACTGTGAATTAATCATTCTAAACGTTGTCAAAATAAACTGTTTAGACGCACACCTACCAAGCATGCCAAATCTCGATGACGTCGTGAAACTTACATTCTTCACTGAAGTTATGAATGGCCGCATTTGAAAGTGGATAGATAGATGTATATCGACTTAAACAACATTCAGAGGGTGGTCGTTTGGCGCAGTGGTAATACACAAGCACTCGTCCGGGGTTCGATTCCCGGAATGGATGAGAAAAGGTATAGGGTCACCTGCCCGACCACGTGGTTTTTCCCAGGGTACTCAGGTTTCCTTCAACACTAAGACTCCTCGCGCGCTTCTATTCGAGGCATCAGAAGTGAAAAGTTGAAAAACCTTGCTTCGCAGTTGTTTCAAAATAAATAAAGTTTATTATTTAACATCCAGAGTGTACACTTACGTTTAGTTATTTCAATGTCTTAATTCCTAATTATGCAGCTGTGGTGAGAGGGTGGTTAGAAAACAGCTACAACATTTAACTGAATGAGAAGACATATTATCATTTTTAATCATTATTATGAATAATTTTTCTTACTTTGCTTTCGTTCGTTTTTTTTATATTTGCATGCAATTTCAAACTTATGTTGTAATATTTCTTGTCTTTGTAGGTCATTATGAAGGCGGTTCTAATGATGTTAGTGGTATTTGTCTCAACACGGACCGCACTTATAGGTAATTGTCTTCTGTTAAAATAGACACAAAAATATATCAAGATATTGTGGTAGAATTATGTTATATTAGTATGTATTTAGTTTTTCAGCATCCTTTCATATGTATTTATTTTTTCAGCCTTACTTTTGAGAAGTGAGTCTTATCATGACGAAAATTGTACAGTTCATATTCTCAATCTTTTCGTGTCCGTTACAGATACAATCTAAAATCAATAGACGAAATACATTTAAATATATTGATTAACGAGCACTGTGCTATAACTAGTGTTGGTTATTTGTATCGTGTTGAGTTTCATTTATCTAACAATTTCAATAAATTTAATGATTGATAGCCACATCCTAACGATGTTTATCCATTCAACAACACGCAAACATCTTTCCATAATTGAAGGTCCAATTAATCTTGCTAGACTTTTAATCCTTATAGCTTTTGAGCTCAGCTGCCCAAGTATTCTACTTACTTATAAATTGCCTGTTATTCTTTCAATTGCTTAACGATGCATTTGAAATTTCAATAGATGTTATTGTCCATATCATTCTACCATGGTCGAAATTCCAATTGATTTTTTTATAATATCATCTTTTTTTATTCAAACTATATTGAAATTTTTAAACGACCGCTTTTGATAACGAATTCAAATATTTATTCACTTGGAAATGGTATGCAACGTTGTGTCGTTCCGCTCACAGACCATTGTGTATAAGTGCTGACTGTTTGATTAATGTATGATAATGTATATACGTCTCTGCTGTTGTGTGACCTTTCGCTCTTTTGATTGGTTAAAAAATTGCCGAATACCAAAGGTCATGTTGAGGTGGGGGCCTACCTGAACAACATACGTGCCACTCACAGTAGTTCGAGCAAAATATGTTCAGAGACACAACTAACATGAATACTAATGAAACACCAATTTACAGAAAACCTACCTAAAGTCTGTTTCTAATACCATAGGATGATAATTGTTTTGTGCATTAATTTATATATACAGTCTACCACGATCATGAATCGTATATTATGAAAGTTAAAAGTGCATTGATTATACAATCACGACAGACCATATCATAGAAGCATCAGAAATTATACTTAATCATGGTTTCTGAAAACAAACGCTGAGGCTATGTACACGGACTGGTATCATAATCCCACTGCTTGTTACCATGACTTTATAAACATAGTATGACATGTTTGGTTCACATTCACGAGTAAGTTTCGCTATTTTGTAAGTATTATCCCGTTGTTACTATGAATTCCATGTCACTTGAATATTATTTACGAAAATACGTATTAATTCATTGTCATATAAAATGATTAAATACTGCTTATTTGTGTTTTTTCATGAGACTAGAATTACATGATTTTGCCCAACACCAATCACGTTACCATGTTACCAATTTATTGATTCGCTTGTATTTCAATTAAGAGGGGAAGTTTGTGTGAATTAATCAAATATCCAACTCCATTGAACACGCGCGTGTTTTTTTCCAATGAGCTATCGTAGTTATATCACTTGTTATTTGCATATGACATTATGACATTGAGATATTTTTTCGGCATGCAGATGGAACCAAGCAGACACTTACATTTATGACAGTTGAAAAGACGTGGAATGAGGCCTCGTTGGTGTGCAATATAAAGAATGGTTATCTATATAAAGATGGGTCACGTGCTGTATCTGAAGCAGTAGGAGAACTAGGCGAAGAGGAACCCTGGGCATCCCTAGCATATCTGTATATACTTCATGTTATCTTCATTGTAGTTATGTTATGCATGTCTATTCAAATCAGTTGTCAATTAGCATCACATAAGATATCATAATTTGCTGTAAATAGCACGATTCGTATTTCAAGAACATGACATTTCTTTGATTGAGCAAGATTTACAAATCGATTATCGTTAATGGGGCAGAGGACGCTTACTCGTCTGGAACACAGTTTCTTGTTCTGATGTTTCTGTTTAGAGTGGTTTGACAATGGAAAAGCACTCGCCTTTCATATAGACGTTAAAAGTTCGATTCTCCGAGCTGACCTGAAAAGTTTATGGGTCACCTGCCCGATCACGTTGGGTTCTCCTGGGTAAAACACTTTTCTTCCATCAGGTAAAAACATTATTTCGTTTTTAATTAAGAATAAGAATGGTTATCAAGAGGATGTCTCGTGTTTAACTACAGCGGTAATTGTCCTATGTTTGGTAGTCACTGGTTACATGATGGTTTACCCTTAAATGGATGTTTAAAAAAATATTCCAATGACATATCAACGAAAACAAAGAATAACGACATGTCGACGAAAACAAAAAAATAACGACATGTCGACGGAGTCAATGTAATAATGTCTGCCAATAGACGAAAGAGATTAACAAAACAAAGATTTACATAAGAATCTTGAAAATCTACAAGGGACACAAGATCAGATGTTCCAGAAGGGTATGCGTCTTCGCAGTGATGCACTATATATAGCTTTATCATTTAAAGTAACTAACGTAAATTCAACAGGTATTTGATTGTTATACCATTCCTCAAAACGTTTTAATTTAAGGGACGATCCCTTCTGGATTGGTCTGGGGTACAGCGGAACAAAGATAGATGATAAACCTGTATTCACTTGGAACAGCGACTGTGAAAACATGGACAATACTAATGATTATAACGACTGGCATCCCAGCCAGCCTAAATTCTATACGACCAGTCAGTGCGTTTACAGGAAACGTGCAGGGGCCAACTGGAATTGGTATACAGCTACTTGTTCGGATAAAAAATACTACATATGCCAAACAGAAGCAGGTAAGTCGATAAGATATAAAGGAAACATTTGTTGAAATCACATAAATGTTCATATACAGTGCATTTATATATATAGCGCCGACATAACCGACCACGCGTGATTCGAAGTCTCGATGTATTGAAGTTCTTGTGGTAGTCGCTTGAACTGTTTGGGTTTTACACGAATGGTGATCATTTATAGCTATGAAATAATTCCTTTGAGAACACCTCACTCTAAACTCCATAAGCAAAAAGAACTACAATATTATTTCAAGTCCGCAATGATGTGATTTCATCAATAATAAGTTGATAAACAAATGCTTATAAGATATGTGAAAACTATAAAATTTACTGAATTAAAGGGCCGGTGCAATTCCTCATAATGAGGTAAAACTCAAACAAATTCCACATTCGCCTCACAGGCTTCAACAGCTAGGCCCTTAGAATCCCTGACTTTACATTGTCAACTGCTAAATTTGTTTTGAAATGTGATTTTCCTTTTGGATGACTTCGGGTTGATAAAAATTATGGGAAGTTTAACGGTTCTCATAGTAATCTCATTGCAAAAAATATTTCATTTCTTTGTGCGATGTGAAGCTGGACTGTTTGATGCTCGTTAATTTGCCCGTTGGTTCCATTGTTGTATACGTTATTCTCATTTGAGAATGTGAAATTACTTACTTGGATTAACCATGATTTATATGACGGGTGTCGTCGATGAAGCTGCAGACACTTACTCTTCAAGAACACCTGGTCTTATTCTCCTTGTAATTTTTTATCGAGTCTTTCTTTTGTTAATATTTGGCTCTAGTTTTATTGATTTTGACTTCGGATTATGATTATGTTGACATGTTGGTATTTTCTTGCTATGTTTTGTCCAGTCAGCTATGATATTTACAGATGTATAAAATGTAATGAATTGCATTTAAAAACCCAAGTGTAAGATCTAGTTCACTCATCAAATTACCTCTTTTTACACCATTTTGCCATATTTTGTTTATCGTCAGTTTTTTAAAACATGATTCTTATTTTTTACAGCCACTACCTGTAACAATGCCCCTGTCGACGATACCAAGGGAGCCGAATCAGAGGACGAACACCATGTCGGTATAACCTTGTCCGCCTGTGGTACTCGTTGTACCAACACCAAATGTGTAGCATATGCATTTAACACAGCAACAGGAGAGTGTTTGATTTATATACATTTCAGTATCTTGTATTTCAAGGATCCTTCTAACCAGGATACCGCCTCTGATTACCAACTTTATCTAATGGGTTGTTTTGAAGGTATGCCTTTTAAATATATCAATTTTTGTTGACGATATGTCATGCCTGATAAACCTTGCTCAAGTGTTATCATAAAAAACTACTACTTAATCCATTTGTCAAAATAGAAAGTCTTTTATGTTATTAAATTGGACAGTTTGAATCAATATGATTGATAACTCTATGACTGTGTGCAGAAAACTAAGTTTGATACACCCCTGAAAGATGATGAGAATATGTAACTTCTAAAGTTTGTGAGTTACGGGTCGTCACTTTTTCCGGATTTACCCTGATTTTACATGAATAAGAAAATACATTCATTATGTTTAACAAAAGAAAGCATGTTAAAAAATAATAGCAACTCTCGAAGTAATCCGGTACTTATAGATAAATAATCAAAGATCTAAACGAAAAACGCAAAAGCCTGCTTTTATTAAAATCAAACTATATCTGTAGCATAAATTGATTTCATTTTATCTATCAATAAATTAATGACTGACCACGGAACAATTTTTTTTTTTAATTTCAAAATTTAAGACTTTAAGATTTTTCATTGATAGAATATTATCTCGTTATAGAGTTACCATGAAATGAAATTTAATTGAATGAATGAATTTGACATTAGGTATCCACATCCCAAACGTGCTTGTAGTACAATTAAGATAACAAGGAATATTACTGAAGATCGATATTCCATGTAATTTTTCTAGTAAATACACATGAACATTTATTTTGTCTCGCTTAGTGTGTCCATTAAGACAACAGAATACTCAAATACACAATCATTATGAACGACTATTTTAACGTACGTACTCATTTCACGAGAGTTTAACGTTAAAATAACGTTATTAACGTTATGAAAATTTATAGTGTAACCAGAGGTAACAGGTAAATTTGAACATATAATTTAATTCCTTAATGTTTATTATGCCTTCAGTCTTTTATTAATGAGATTCCTTATTAACGTTGATTTTATTGTGGGCTACATATTCTACTTTGATTATTTATTAATTGTTGTTTACATGAGTGGTTCTTGGACATGTTTCATGTGCATTTTGGCATGCACGCTTACTCATTATACGGATTTATTGTTTCGTATGTATATATATATATTTTTTTTTTCTTGTTTTCCAATTAATTTACATAAAAAGCGATGTTTTATACCCAACAACCCACAAATAATTAGCATGGTGGAAGAAATTAAATCCGCCAAATCGGTCTTTCCATATGAATTTACAGTGTGTTATTGATATTTTCATCCAAGTTATTGCTATATCGTGTCAAAACAACAAAGAAAACATAACAATAAACATTTTTTGTCAACTCCGATTCAATAAGGCTAGGACAAAATATGGACTAAAGAAAGATTTACATAAAAGCGTTTGAAAAAGTACAAGGAGAACAAAACCAGGTGTTCAGCAAGGTAAAGTTTTTTGTCGAAAATAATGAACCAAAATCATCAAGTTAACTCATATATCACTAATGATATATAGGAGAGCTTTACTATAAATCGCTTATTTCAGCCGCGATTGATGCTACGGATTACAACGTTGTTAATGGAAACGACTTGATAGATGTCGCGTGTGGTGCTCTTTCAACGCCAGAACCCACTACCACAACAACGCCAGAACCCACTACCACATCAACGCCAGAACCCACTACCACAACAACGCCAGAACCCACTACCACAACAACGCCAGAACCCACTACCACAACAACGCCAGAACCCACTCCAACATCAACGCCAGAACTCACTACCACATCAACGCTAGAACCCACCACCACATCAACGCCAGAACCCACTACCACATCAACGCCAGAACCCACTACCGCAACAACGCCAGAACCCACTACCACAACAACGCCAGAACCCACTACCACATCAACGCCAGAACCCACTACCACATCAACGCCAGAACCCACTACCACAACAACGCCAGAACCCACTACCACAACAACGCCAGAACCCACTACCACATCAACGCCAGAACCCACTACCACATCAACGCCAGAACCCACTACCACAACAACGCCAGAACCCACTACCACATCAACGCCAGAACCCACTCCCACAACAACGCCAGAACCCACTACCACATCAGCGCCAGAACCCACTACCACACAAACAAATTCAAACGTCAGTACTATGTGTCATTGTGTTTGTATCCTTCAACCTAATTCTACTTCAAAAGACGATATCGTCAACAAAATAGCTGCCCTTAGGTCGGAATTGATAGTCAGCAAATCCACTTTGAGTAAAACCAAACGGAGCCTGACCTGTGCTTATGACAGCCGGATTTCATCGGTGAGCATTGGAACCGTAACATCAATATTTCTTGCTGTATGCCTTGGAGCAGTCATTGTTACCGATTTACATTCCGTCTGTGTTGCACTTAGATTGAATATAAAGAAAAAGGAAGGACAGAGGTGGCAATATCCCAACTATTTAAATGCAAAAAGTAAGTCTAGTGTTGTTATGGTATGAAACTTCTGTGTTTGGGGAGGGGTGATCGCAAAAGCTTTCAGTTCATATATTTGGCTTACAGTAGCAATGGTTATACGAGAGATGTTGAAAAACACATTCCTTACTGCAACAGACGATTACTGTCAATCACTGGGTATTCATTGTGATTTAACAAAATGTCTTCGTGTTTAGCAGGCAATAGCATGGAAAGGAAGAATTTAGTATATATGTATCTTTGCTGATTATGGATGAGTAGATGATTATGAAAATGTCTCGGATGATTATATATGCAAATCACATTGCACGTGTCTGAGGGTTTGAGAGAGGGTGTGTGTGTCAGAGTGTTCGCGTCAAGGACTGTGTGAAGCTGTCTGTTTGGGTGAAGGTGTGTGTATGTGTATGTGTAAAGACGTAAATGTTTGATAAGTACACATACTGTATCCTTATTCCATTGTACTTAAATATATATCATATACATATAAATCATAAATACAATAAATAAAGAAAGGTGCACTGATAAAAGAATAGTTTTGTCTGGAAGTTATTGGTACGTACCGATTTAGGCTGTAACGCTTTTGCAATAGCAAGTGTTGTACCATAACATGTAGAAGATAACTCAAAACCAAGTCATATCATGTTGGAAATTGAGGAACAAGCCATCATGTACCGTGATGGAATATGAAGGAGGGGCCCCAAAAAAACATCAAGAACATACCAACATGACAGCATAATAATAATTCAATACAAATTTCATAAAAAAAGAACTAGTGCAAAATATGGACCAAAGAAAGACTTGAACAGAAACCCCTGAAAAAGTACAAGGATAATAAGACCAGGTGTTCTGGAAGAGTAAGCGTCTTCTGCTTCATCGACGATACCCGCCGTGTAAAGCTTGGTCAATTCAAGTTATTAATGTCACGTTCTCAAATGAGAATAAAGTATATAACAACGAAAACAACAGGCTAAAGTAACGAGCATCAAATATGTCCAACTTCATGCTTCAAGCGGTAAATGGTCGTCTGACGGTATTTTTGTCAATCTGTGGGTGGTGACGCCCATTTACACGGCATTAACGTCAATTCAATAGTGATAATAACATGTCAGATAATATTTAAATATATTAAGGCGTTCATTTAGTGGAATAAAAATGTGTTTTCCTGTGTGATTATTAACTTTATAAAAGTCCTAATCATCTGAAGGATTTACGTTAAACTGTCTTTTGTAGCGAAGTTCAACGAACTAATGTAAAGTATATCGACAAGGAGCTAAAAAAGCTTGTGCTGTATTATAGTATTATAAAACTGTATAAAACTCATACCAGGACGAGGTTTTTGTTATCTTTGAGTCTTTCATGTCTATTTTTATGAATATATACGTAAATTATCATCAATCAATCTTAGAACACAGGGGCCATGAATATCATATTTCTTATTACAAATCACTACTTTAGTATTTTCCACTAATAGAAAACACCTGATCATATACTCTATATATGTGTGTGTTTCCCAAAACATGCACTGGTTTTGTTATATCAGATTATGTCTACACCTTTTATCATTTTAATGATATGCATTATAAAGACAATTATTGCATAACATCTGTATGGTTTAAGGATATTTCTAGAATCAATGTTCATTCAATTTCCTGCTTTCACAGACATTGATAATAAATTATATTTCGAGCCCTCAACCCCACATGGCCTCATTCCCCTCAAAAACGAAAAAACAAAACGGGGAAAATTTATTTTCCGCATATACAAACCTATCCTTTTTATTCCTTGACATTCCATAATGATTAGTGTACATGTGTCGTGTTCAATTAAACATTTAAGTGCCGGAGCCTGTTCTTATCAAATGTTTGATATTCTTTCTCTGTATCAACCTTATATCAACAATAAACAGATCAAAAGAAGTGATAGTTTTGTAGGATAATGAATAATCGATTACAGTGTTTACTTACAGTGTTAGGTGTGGTTGTTATCAATCAGGTTTAAATGTTTTCACGAGAAATCCACATACATAACAAAATTAACAGTATTTACAAGGACGTATATATCATTATTATTCTATATTATTTTATGTCATTGGTGAATGTATATTTCGACTAATCACATCTAACGTCCTTGTAAATTATCGAATTTCTTGTTTAAGAAAAGATGGGGTAAGCATCTTATTGAGATAAGATATTAAGATATTGGATACCCGTGTGAACAAATGGTGCACCCCTTTTGACTGACTGTTTTCACATGAAGCTGAATAAACTTCAACTTCACCTTCAGAATTGGGAATCGATGACACGGCATATTCTTCTACATATGCTGCTAGCCTTATTATTGTCCTACAATAAAATCAGACAATGAGAATCTAGCTATATGATAAGTGTGACAATTCAATTTTATTACTGTAAATTTTCCATCTCTCGAGAGCAACAATCCTGCGTCCCCATCCAATGTTTCATGTCGCAATCGATATACAAAAACTTGTTCTCAATGTCAATTTTGGTGCAAGATAACGGCATCTATGAGACAGAGTCAACACACATGGTTTCGACAGGTGAAGGTAAAGGAAACAAATGGGAACCTCGTCATAATGATCCACGCTAATGGTTTATTTCTCCAAGTCTTGCCACAAGTTGCACCACTCCAAAATCATTGTTAATTTCTCCAGTCCTCACTACAACTTTCATTTCTCCAAGCTAATAGTTTAGTTCTACAACAACCAAGGTCCTGGTTTACTTCTTCAATTTCTTCATAAAATGTTTCTCCAGTTCCAGTAGTATCAGATGTTTATAAACCTGGCTTTTGAACGATTTATGGTTTTTTTTCATCAGTATGTTATAATCGTGATTTTTTCTGCATGTTCTATTATACCTCACTTAGACTTTATAGATTTTGTTTTTTGTTGGTCTCTTGTAATCTAAATATACAGCCTTGCTCCATGTAGTGTTTATTATGAGAAGCTATAAACAGCATATGACTGCGAAGAAAAACCTTTGAAGATTGCGCAAAAGAAATATTTCGCACCTTTCAATACAAATAAAATAGAATATAGCAAAATGAATTTGTATATTTTTATTGTCAAGCTGTTGGAAAGCTTTTGTCTGTGTCCTTTCATTTAAATCCTTTATATCACACAAGGTTACGCTCACAATCATCTTCATTATGACAAAACAAATTCACAACACAACAGTGTTTCTTGATGCATAGCATAGCAGTATAATGTAGCATCGCTGACAATGGCCTAGAAGGACGAAATAGCAGTATAATGTAGCATCGCTGACAATGGCCTAGAAGGACGAAATAGCAGTATAATGTAGCATCCCTGACCAAGGCCTAGAAGGACGAAATAGCAGTATAATGTAGCATCACTGACCAAGGCCTAGAAGGACGAAATAGCAGTATAATGTAGCATCACTGACAAATGCCTAGAAGGACGAAATAGCAGTATAATGTAGCATCGCTAACCAAGGCCTAGGAGGACGAAATAGCAGTATAATGTAGCATCGCTGACCAAGGCCTAGAAGGACGAAATAGCAGTATAATGTAGCATCACTGACCAAGGCCTAAAAGGACGAAATAGCAGTATAATGTAGCATCACTGACAAAGGCCTAGAAGGACGAAATAGCAGTATAATGTAGCATCGCTGACCAAGGCCTAGAAGGACGAAATAGCAGTATAAATTAGCATCGCTGACCAAGGCCTAGAAGGAAGAAATAGCTGTATGATGCAGATTAATTCATGATTTGGCTCTGTCTATTCATAAATTAGTTTTAAAAGGTGCATTTCATTGGTGCGTCTTCGGTACAATTTTTATATTGTTTAGTGACAATATTGATCTTAGTAAATATATCAGTTATTGTACAGACACCATCGAAGCATTAGAGCGATGTTCGAATAACATTTCCATGAATAAGGTCAATCTGTTGTGGTAATTTACGTTACAGATAGTTTGGGAGTTAAAATACAAACCTTTTATAATCATCATTACTTGTCAAATATAGACCTAAGTTTGCTCTTATAATATTGTAATACTACCATATCAAATCCAAAATTTAAATCTAAAATCGTGTTTCTTTAAACTTGAATTTCCCGTGCAAGTTATCCGTGTAATCTCCCTCTAATCCACGATACATCAGATCAATATTGTGCGTTACAACCTGTAAAATATTGATTGATCACGGAATTATCTCAATCAATCATCCCATGGTAATTACCATATCAGTTATTTACATTGCAAATAGGATTTGAAAACAATATATGTACTACAGGTATTTTTGAAAATTGATAAGGTGTTTCCTTTGACATGAAATAATACCATTCATGTTTCATTACTTATCGATAAATTTTATAAGTTATTATAGACCTGGTTGTTTTCATTCATTTGAATAGTGGAGGTCAGAAAATACAAGTGTACCTAATGATCTTTGTTCGAAATTCGATCAATAATAAAGATTAGAAATCTTTTTATATACAGCTTATAATGCACCTCGCTATCTTTGTATTATTGAGGTCAGTTTTAATTTCCATCATTCGCCTCCCATTTTACATTTTATATTCCCCTAACATCAATAAAAGTGGAGACAACAGTATGAAACAATAAGATTTATTATTTGGTATTAAACTGAGCTAATTCTTTCACTTGTGTGTCTTTTTTATGCTATAAAACAAGCAAATTCTACTTATTTATTGTTTAATTAATGAAATTTGAGAAAAACAAAATAAATGTGCTGAGGTGCATTAATTATGTAAGAAAAAAACATTTGGTATTTCGTAACCGTATGCAGTATAAGTGATAATGGATATTAGGTTTCTATTATGCTAATGGACTTGATAAGTAAATAAAACGTCTTCATTTGATGGTATGCGGGAAAACACTGTCGTGGGCAATCATTATTCCGTCTGTTACTTAATACAAATTGCACTTATTAGATGATACCATCTCCTAATTCCCGAGGAATGTGTTTGTTAGGGCTAAATGGATAGAAGATTTGTATCATTGTAAGTATATAAGCTTCACATTTCGCGTTTTATGAGCAGACATCCCAGTACATCATCAAGCTAGCAGCACATCGCACAAACAATAAGGTAAGTATACTTGATATTCTGTAACACTATGTACTTGGTGTGGTCATATAATTTTTGAGTGTTCATTTTACCTGTAGAAACTACTAACGATTGATAGGAATATACTCATCATTTTTCGACACATTAACTTCGAGTTATTCTTCAGAATTTTCATTGTATATTGTTTTTGTTGATACTTTAAAGAAGGTAGATCTAGCTGTATAAAAATAAACAGTTTCCATTTTCTTCATACTTTAAAGGAGGTAGATCTAGCTGTATAAAAATAAACAGTTTCCATTTTGTTGATACTTTAAAGGAGGTAGATCTAGCTGTATAAAAATAAACATTTTCCATTTTCTTCATACTTTAAAGAAGGTAGATCTAGCTGTATAAAAATAAACAGTTCCCTTTTCTTTTCAGTTTACAATGTACGTGTTGTATATTTTGGCTCTGTTACTGGAAGGGATCCATTTTTCCCAAGGTGAGTTCGACACTTTGATAATCATACAAAATATACTCGTTTGAAAATACAATTGAGAGATCAATAAAGACGATACATTATGTGTATCGTATTAAAGTATTCAAACTTTAATCCATAAGACATTAGCTTCAAAGTGGCGATATATATGTTTTATAAACGTAAATGTATTTTTTTTTTTTTTTTGATAACATTTGCTGTTGTACGGTTACCGAAATTTCAGCAAACCGAATCACATTGTAGTCGTCTTTTAAAACATCTTGCTTTGTTGCCGTATTGATGACAGTTAGACAGATACAGCTTCTGTGAGGTTGCTGTGCAAGCATGGTTTAGTAAATATCGTTGATCTGTGGTTTATAGTTAGGGTATTACTGGATTTTAAACCTGCATTTTACAGTACCAATAGCTGGTGTTTAATAAAAGAAAGTGTTTTAAACTTCTACTTCGTTTCCAGTATATTTATTTTTAGAAAAGGAAGTGTAATTATTTGAGTCGCATTTTCCGACTTAACTTCCCAATATCAAATTTTCAACCTTTTCATTTTGCAACAGCGCGAATACGTTTATGCGATTCGTTAAACTTCGTTTATCCCCGACAGGAACTGGATGCAGCGGAGTGGCCGCTGATTTCGTGTTTGTTATGGATGGGTCAGACGGTGTTACCGATTTAGGATTTGCAAAACAGAAATTCTTTGTCTCTGGTTTGATCGACAACTTTGACGTCAGCCCTAACAGCAGTAACGTAGGGATCCTGGCATACGGAAGCCAAGTGGGAGGTGACACATTAGGCCTACAGCCCTTTAAAGGCAAAACACAAATCAAGGACCACGTGATGAGCATGGAATACCCGAAAGGCGATACAAACATTGCTGTAGGTATCGATGATGCCAGAGAGATGTTGAAACAACAAGGCCGACCAACTGCTGCGAAATACATGGTGGTTTTTACAGATAGATTGTCTAGCTCACCAATGCATACATACACACAGGTACTGTGAATCTATTTCTTATTCATTGAAAACTCCGGGAAAAATTTGAAAAGAGTAAAAATTACCAAATATGTGTTATGTGTTAAACATCTATCACTACCAAAGAAACTTTATACAACATCTCATTTATAGTACGTATTATAGTATATATTCAATCTAAATAAGAAGAAAAATAACAATAACGTTTACGGTTATATATATGCCCTGTACTTTTTATCTGAGTTTTCTCCAAACATTTATATAAATTTACTTTATCTTTATCAAGGCTTTCCTAGCCAAAGCGGACGGAATCAAAATCTTCGCTGTGGGAATGGGTCCAGATAGCTCTAACGAGGAAATGAAGATGCTCGCTTCTGGACCAAACAGTGTCTTCGCCATACCTGACATTGCTTCGTTAGATGCTTTTGGTCCTTACATGTCTGATCTACTTTGCAAAGGTACGTATCGAGGTTTTGTCAAGAATTCTGATGTTCTAACGTAATATTAAATGTGAATCTAAAGTAAAAACCGGAAATAGAACTGAAGTTCTGCCTGCAACGTCACTGGTGAAGAATCTGAAATAAAATTGATTTCATATGGGAATGTGAATCAACCAATAATTAAATGGCAGTTGGCGTCGATGAATCAGAAGACGCTTAATCTTCTGCAATACCTGGTCTTATTCTCCTTGTGTTTATTCAAGACCCTCTTAAATCTTTCTTCTGTATGGATTTCCCCTAGCTTCGTCGAATTCGAGTTTGAACTAAGAGCCTGTTGACCAGTCGGTACCTTCGTTATTATTATCTTAGTTCTGCTCGTGGATTTTTTCATTTCTAAATGAGTTCAACAATGCTTTCAAATATTGGTTTTACTGTTTAAGCAAACCAGAACATGACCTTATTTTATGATAATGCAACTATATACCAAATAATACCTGTCACAGAGAACATCAGTGGCAAGTAGATTACGTGGACAACTGTAACACTGTTTGTCCCCTACCATGATATGGCATAATTGTGTGTCATTGTAGATATAGCTTACCTTTGAAAATGTATTGCGAATATAACGCTTCCCTACTAAAACAATGAAAAAATGAAAAGTATATAAAAAATTTGTGAGAAGAACTACAAAAGAATAGTTTCTTGAAATCCTTGTACATAGATTACAACGTATAATAGCATGGTCCATTTAATTGGAAAACGTTTTACATATTACGTGGTTTGTTTAGTTTCAAAAGGGGTTTTTTTGCCTCATTGCAAGGACATTCTAAGCATTTTTGTGTTCATATATAGTTACGATATTGTTCCTTGTTAAACATACAGTCTTCTTTTGTTGGAATTTCAATACATTTTATTAATCAAACTTTCTTTAGACTTGTACACGCTGATATTTGTCATTTATGTATCATCCCCAGGCTACGTGAACGCATATGCAGATATGCAGCAGGTACGTATGTATTGTTGGCTTACATGCTTTGTAAACGATACTGCGTGTAGTGCATCTACTGAGGAATTAAATCAATATTTACGATTTAATCATTACTATCGTGTCGCCAGTAAAGAAGTGAGACAAATATTATTGAAAATAAAAAGTTTTGCCGTTATACGATAAAATTTCAATATCTTGATAATTGATCTTTTTCTGGCATAAATATTACTATGCATAAGTGAAACATTCAATATTTGTTTTACTTCAGCACGGACCTGGACACCTAACCGGCAGACGAGACAACTCTACATTATCTCAACCAAAGTACAACAACATGCAGCCATGAACGTAACATCACGTGACTTGTGACTGTCATCATACACAAAATGAACATTAATTGTAAATACATCTGTAGTGCCCTTGCTGTGTAAACACATGGACTTTTAATCACATTACAAGTGTTCTGTATTCATGTATTATATAATAAAAATGACCAGTTTGTTTTATAACAATAGTTTTCTCTTTTTTTCGCCTTTTGTTAACAATGCTCTTAACGTATACTGTGAAATCGTCAATTTTCGTGGGTTTTTGTTTTAAGTGATACCGTTTGTATCCTTAATCCACCAAATCATATACTAAGGAATTGGTGAAGTGTTCAAGGAACATGAAATCTTAGAATAATGTAGGGATTTCGCTTCAGTGAAACCAGTTCACGACGAAATAGCATTTTCTTGAAAATCCACGAAATTAGTGAAAACCATGAAAATAAATGAGTACAGTAATGACTCGTATCAATAGTTAGAACCACTTCTGATCAAAATTTGGAATATCATTGGATATATTTTGAAATTAAAAATACATCTATGACTATGTAATACCATATATCAATGTAAAACTGTATCAAACAGTTATACGTCTAGGGACCTAAATTTTGGTAACCTAGGATACAACTGAGAAAAAAATCCGAATTTTGTCAAAATAAAAATAAAGAGTTAGAGAGATGCATACATTCCAATACTTCAGCAAATAAAATTTTTATATCAGAAAGACTCAACAATCGTCCTACAAGAGTACTAATATAAACAGGATAACGTTTAGAGCTGAAATTTTACATTGCATTGAATGGAAAAGGCACACAAGTGAATAGCACTTTTAAGAATTTGATCTAGGAGGCGACTGAAGAAAATCCAAAGTGACCGTAAGAAAAATCTAAATGGGGATGTACATTAGCCAATAATTCAACCAATTTCGTAATTTTCCTAAATCAGCCAGTTTTAGAAAAATGCCAAATGCATGGATCTATTCTGACCCCCAGAACTATTCAAATGAATTAAAATGCGGCATTCTGGCTACGCCAAATTGAAACTTAAAACTATATCAGGAGAATAAGATTGTGTTCCGAAGTGGTAAGGGGTTTCTGCTTCATCGATAACACCAATCCAATTAAATAATGTCATGTTCTCAAAAGAGAACAATGTAAACAATAATGGGTCGTCATAAAACTAACTATATATGGCCGCACTCCTGATCCCGAAGAACAAGATGAACAACTTCATACTGACAGGCAGATGAGCAACGAGGAGAAATCAAAGCTGAACTGCTAACTGGAACATGTTAAACGAGTGCAATGTGAATCCATGTTAACTCTGGAAACAAAACCAAGAAATACGTACTCAATTCTTCGCAGAATTCCCGAAACTATGGTGCCCTTGACACAAGTAAAATGCAGACAAAAGGTACACAGGCCTTAATGGCCATCTGACTATAAAGACCTATATATGTAAGAAGCCAAACAGGCCTAAATAAATAGCTCAATTACATTACAGCTTACATAGACATTGATGGTTCATAAAAACATTTTCTGCAAACTTGAAATCATATTCTTTATTTATGCACTACACAAACGCCATTACTGCGGACATGCTACAGGCCCTATATCAAGACCTTTGGCCTTTTGGTTATTGGGAAGAAGTTGTTTACACATTTCAACATATTTTAACCCTGTGACCTTAAAAGTGGGCCAAGGTAATTCATAATTACAAACTTGGTAGCCCTTCATCCCATCATGCTAAAGACCCAATATCTGCACCCAGGTCATATTTGTTATTGAGAAGTCATTTAAAGAGTTAAACATACTTGACCACTGTGACCTTGAAAGCAAGTCAAGGTCTTTCATATTGACAAATATAATAGCGCTAACCCCTAGCATGCAACAGGCCAAATGTCAGCACCCTGGGCCTTTTGGTGATTGAGAAGTCATTTAAACATTTTAACATATTTGAAAATCGTTCACTCAAATTATTCTTGACTCAACCCACCAGTTTCTACCAGATAACCTGAGACCAAGTAATCCTGACTAACCTAGGTTATGTTAGTTATTATCATGCTTTGGTTAACTCCCTTACCCTGACCTTACTATTACCACATACATCTATGGACTGTTAGATACCTGGTAAATTGTACACTCTATTAGTTTATTCTACCAAGGGCGACTTTGGTGCAAGTCTAAGTAAATAGTGGAAATTGTGAACAGAACAAATAGCCCTGATCTGTTACTGTATTTTTGAAGCAGTCTAGCAGAGAGTGAAAAAAAACATATATGGCAGGCAATCCAGTAATGCGGAGCCTTCATCATAGCTTTGATGACATGACAAGCCAAGCATAACGGAGTATTCACACAGCCTGTTTATCCTGTAGTTTACTATTTCATTGATTTATGTTCTTTTAATTCCTCTGCCGTCAAGACTAAAGGGAAAAAGAATTCTGTTTATATCCATTTTTCCATTGGACCCTCAATGACTTGGCAGGAATTCCCAACCCACTATCAGCCCGTAATTTGTGTATATATATTATCATGACCCTCGCTACTGTAATATATATGTGTTGATTGCATATTGGATCTCTGCCCCTAGTGGGGTCACTTGATCAATTTATACAAAAATTTCCTTCATCAATGCAAAAGTGGTACAGAAGAAGCATTTTATAGAATTTCCTCTATTTCCCCATTAATACAAAATTAAGACCCCTTCTCAAAAGGATATTTTTGACAAAATTTGGTCAATTGAAGGAAAAGCTGACAACAGATGCAGTGGTATCCCAGGTGAGCTGAAAATTGACTTGAGACTACTCGAAACAGTAGAAAAACGTACTGAAATGGATGAAAAACAGACAAAAACAGCTGTAAATCCTTCAAACCTTTACCTGACTGATCATTTAAATGTTAGACCTCAGGGTCTGAATAAATAAAATCGAAATAAAATTTTTCTTCTGAATTTAAAATAAAGGTGTAAATAATGACATAAAAAGTCAAATTGTGTAGTTTTTTTTATTTCATGATCAATGACTATAAAACAATTTACAATGTGAATGATGAATGTTGAACAGTTAAGTAATAACATTGTGTAGATCTAAGACATCATACTATTCCATTTTACATTTTCCTACTAACGTTTGGCGATGTTAAGAGAGTTAAGTTAAAAACAAAGACTTTACAACATAATGGCAATTCCATACTTTGAACTGTATTCCATTTAAAAGTATTTCTAATTGTACTGTAATTTTCAAATAGAATGAAAAAGTAAGCAACACAACATCTATTAAAGTATTCAAATAACCTTGATTTCCTTTCAAAATAAATTGCACATGTTTCCCAAATTCACACCAAAATATATTCTGAAACTCAAACGAATGTTCATAACTTAGCCAAACCTTGTTTTCTATAACTCCTATAACAATAGGAGATCTATCTATGTACTTTTCAGTAGATTAAGATTTTGAAATCTGTAGAAATCCATTGAAGTAGGCAATCATATAGAAATACACCGCCGATGTTGTTTAGGACATAAAAATGTTGTGTCACTGACATTCTCCTATAAACATTAAACAGAAATCTAGGATTCAATTCAATAAAAATATTTTATAAAACATTTTATAAAATCTTTTGAAGAATTACCAATTTTGAGATAACAACTAGGGGTAGAGAAAAAAAAATATTTCAACAACTAATTCCTTCAGTCCAACTATGATCTTCCGATAAATGTTCTTTTCAACAGACTTCAACTTCTGTAGTTTTTGATGAATCTTAACATTCTCAAGTAGTTTTCAATGGACCTGGGTGATTTTTGTGAACATCCTTCCAAAACAGCAGATGTCTGGGACAGGAATACGATGAATTGTCTATTTCCATCACATTTTCACCATTCCAATGAAGAAAGCCCTGTACTTTTATTGGACGACTTCGAACCAGTTCATATTGTTTGCTAAATACCTACAACATGAAAAAATACTGAAAAAATACCAAACAAAACAGTGTGTTTGCTTTGACAGAAATCCAGAAATGCATTTAAAAACATTATGTTCTGCTTTTTAGATTTATTTTCACAATAAATTCAAAATGTAAATATTTCTGCCCTTTAAATAAAACAAAGTTGAAATACCTGACATGTTCACATCTGAGTTTGTTTCATGAAAATATATAAGAACAGTGCTTGTGCTTGTCTCCAAACACACCCCATCCCCCTTAATTGAATAAAAAATCTATCAATTTTTAGAAATTTCATGAAACATCTGCAACACTATACACCAAAGTTAATTCCACAGACAGAGATAAACAGTGATAAACACTTACAAACTCCATTCTTTCATTCATCATCATCATCTCTGCTTTCCTTCTTTCTCTTCTCCTACAGAAACAAAAGTATAAAAACAAAATATGATGGTGACTGTTTCTCTGTGAACTATGTTTATTTCAAAACTTTTAACAAATGAATTGAAACTAGAGTTTCGAGTGTGCATCAATTTCAATAAATTCAAGATATTATCATTTCAAGGATTTACATTATTTCTTTGTAATTCTGAATTTTTATGTATCTCAAATTAAAAAGTCCAAGGTGATGGAAACTATTGTACTTCAAAACAAACCAAATATTGCAATTTGATTATAAGCAGAATTGTTGAGTACAGAAACACTATATGATTAGAGTAGAAATTACAGACTAGACAGAGACAATAAAATAGTGGTTTACCTTTGGTCCCCTCCAATTGCCTGGTCCCCTTTTCCTTGATTGTCGATTCTGTGCCCGTCTTTCTGCCAGTTCATCGAATATTTTTCTCCAATGATCTAATTCTGCTTCACCTGTATAACCATGATTCAATAATAAGAGTCAGTATTTCTCTGGATATTGACAGAGACCTTAGCAAATACATATAATTACAATGGTGTAAGGACAATGTTTATCTCGAGATTCATTCAGATATCTTGGTGCAATCTAGATATTGTTATTACAAAGGTAGAAAGTTGACCATCCATAAACCATGAGTGACTGACCACAAAATAACCATGAGTGATTGACCACAAAATAACCATGTGTGCTTGACCACAAAATAACCATGAGTGATTGACCACAAAATAACCATGAGTGACTGACCACAAAATAACCATGTGTGCTTGACCACAAAATAACCATGACTACAGGAAAATGTCCCATGAACTTGAGTTGCCTAGTAATTCTGTTTTTTTTTTTTTTTTTTTTTTGAATTCTTTTATTGAGCTTGCATTCAATGTCAAATACTGTAAACATTTTTCTTCAATGCAGTCAACCTTTCTTAACACATCATAATAAATGAAGAAAGACACCAGCTCACCGATGTGCTGTTATTATATGCTTACCTTCAAGTACATCACAGGTAACCTCATCTTCATTGATAACGATCTTGCCCTCATTAGCATCCTTCGCTGCCTGAAGACCCTCAACAGCTTTGTTCGCACCTTCAAATCTTACCCATGCCTTTAACAAAATAAAAATCAAATTGAAAGAATGTTTTGCTTTAAAACTTACAACCAGTGAGCTTTAATTCAATGCATGATTGTGCATTTGTTTGCCCAGTTTATCGCACCCTGATCAGCCAAGGTCAGTTTGATGTCTTGTTATAGCTATCACATGCACCTTTAACAACATATGGGAAGCTTGTTGCATGCTGTTCAGAGCGATTAGGGTAAAGTGGCTTGCTCAAGGATACAAGCAGCCTCCTGAGAAACAATCCAACACAGATCGGGAGCATTGAATTATGCACCTGAGACATTCACCTCCGTTTACATAGCCCAACACTCTAACCAACAGCTAATGTGACCCCCAATTAGATGTATGGTCAATTTTGAAATGGCAGGGTCTTTTATTTAATGTTTTCTTTTACCAGTACAGTTTTTACAAACTACTACTCGAATAATCATGCTTATCATCTGTGTCTTAAGATAATGTCTGGAATCACACTTTAATTCAGACATCACCATCAATAATAGAAAACAAGACATTGGTGACTGATCAATCATTGGTTGACACGGGAGTGTAACTTTAAAATCACAAATTTATCATGGCTCAGATTTCATAGGTACATAATGTTAAAGAGGATCTAGGTACCCACATAAATAACAGAGTAAATAAACCTACAATAAAATTCAGTGATTATATGCTAACTACAGCCACATCACAAACTTGTGATAAAAACTAAAAAAAATCAAATTTCTCTTTGTTTACCTCTTTATCACCTTTGTCGAAGTCTACCCAAGCAATCGTCCCAAAATCTGAGAAATAATTCTTGAGATGTTCTCGTTCTGTTTCTTCTCCTTGGATTCCACTTATATGCAGAACTGTTCCTTTTGTGATGGTGTCTTTCAGTTTCTACAGTAATCAAAAATTTCAATTTCAAAAAAGAGAAAGCAAGTAAACATTTATACAAAATAAAACTTTTGTCAGGAAAGTTCAATCCAAGTCAAACATTACGTCATTTTGACTCTATATTGATGGCTTTCATTGTGACGTCAGAATGTAGTCTGCTAGAGAGGTCATTTCATGATCTACTCTTATGTCACAATAACTGGCTTTATTATACATTATTATAGAGGTCATACACGAAAATATCACCAGAGTATATTCACCAAATAACATGAAAATAACATAGTAAAACAATTTAAACACACTTAACACTCACTTGTAATTGATTTTAACACAAGGAGATCCCTATTCAGAATTCGAGAACACAACAAGATTTCATCTTACCTCTCGATCTTCTGCTTCACGTTTTAATGCCTCCCTACAATTTAAAAATACTTTGTTCAATATTGTAATTATCTGTATTTACAAACAAATAGATCTTCGTCCTCCTCCAGTAAACCAACCACTTGGTGTCAAAATCTGTATGTTTGCCACCTGGGCTTATTCTAGAGTAGCTACCGTAATATTTGTGTTTAATTTTGCAGAATATAAATGCATAAATATGTCAAGACAATTTCTTAAATAAAATTAAGACCTTTCATACATTTTTTTTACTTAGAAGACCTCTATACCGAAATATGAACTTAATATGTAATACATCAACAGGTCAGATTTCACTTCAATTATCCCTTGCCTACTCTGAGTAATCAATGCTTGGATTATATTCAAGGTACACAACTCTGGGAATAAATGGTCACAAACTGTTCACATAGTCAAAACTAAATCACCTATAAATTTACTTTGAATCAAAAGCTAAAGGGAGGAAATCAGAATGAATATCTACAAAATAGTTCTTACTCTTCTTTTTTTTGGTTCTGTTCATCTTTTAATTTCTTCTTTTCTAACTGCTTCTGAGTGTAATACAGCTGCCTGCAAAAGACAACAAAGAAAGTATACAGTAAACACAATCAAACCTCTTTATCTACAAGTCATGTAAATCAAAGACCTTGTTTATTTGAAGTAATTCGTCAGTCCCAGTCAAATCTGATAACTCAGAAGTTTCTCCAATTTTCTAGCCCACTTAGAAATAACAAGGTTATTTAATTATCACAAAAAAGTTTACTTTCAAACTATGACTTGTAAATGATATGAAAATATTCCGTACCTGAAACACAACATTTTACTACCACAAGAAAAATATTTTTTTCAAACTATGACTTGTAAATGACATGAAAATATTCCGTATCTGAAACACAACATTTTACTACCACAAGAAAAATATTTATTTTCAAACTATGACTAGTAAATGACATGAAAATATTCCGTATCTGAAACAACATTTTATTACCACAAGAAAAATATTTATTTTCAAACTATGACTTGTAAATGACATGAAAATATTCCATACCTGAAACACAACATTTTACTACCACAAGAAAAATATTTATTTTCAAACTATGACTTACTTTGACATGCGTTTCAGAGGAGTGTCTTGATATTTAATCTCTGAAGCTACCACAAATTTGTCAGCATCATCCTGGGATTTGAATACAGCAAACACTGATCCCTGAAAGAAAACACCAACAAACTGTAGCAATCTAATTTAGCAAATTAATCCATACACAAAACCCTGTAAATCATGTACACACAAAATTGTAAACCATAACATATACCTTATCCAAGTAAAAATCAATCTCCTTAGATAACTAACCATTATACATGTACATAACCCAACACCTTGTCAAACATACCAAAACTGTTCAATTTTGATTCTGATAAGAATTTATCTACCTTGCCACGTTTTATGGCGATTTAATTGTTTTGTGATTTATCAAGGTAATTTTGTACATTTTACGTACACCTGAGAATCTTTATGAACATATTTAGCAAGAGATAGTTATTAGCAACAATAACAATGATGTATGAGTACCCATTTCAAAACACAGCTGGAGTATTTCCATACTAAGTTTGAAATGCTAAATAAATGTGATATGTTTGGCTGGTCTGTGCATTTTTTTTTTAATTTTGAAGACTTTGTCAGGAATTAAATTCTATGGGTAGGTCCTGCATTTGGGCATTACCTTGAAATCTAGGTCCCCTTGCTCTGGATAAGTGATCTAGTTTACATTCAAAGTACCCCCTAACAACAATGACCTGTCCAAGTTTTCATTTGTGGTGTCATTCCAGGACAACACAGGGTAGGTTGAGACCAAACATTACTGACACCATACAAAGGTGTATGCATATGAAGTAGATTCTTTTAAACCTCTGATAAAAAAAACCTTGTCCTTATTTATCCAGTAATAAGCCCAAATATATATACTTATTGCTTTTCAATAGAATTACTAACAAGTCAGTACATTGTTCCACAGTATGTCCATCCAATTCAAATTTTGAAGACAAATTTCTCCATTGGCCCCCTGGACTCACTATTAGTACTTAATTATTTTCAAAGCTTAAAATTGAAAAAATAATTAAATTTCAAATAATTTGAATTTCACAACCTGAATGAAGGAGGAAAATAATTTTGCTTCAGATGTTAAGTTTAAAATAGGTGATTATCATTGATTTATTAATCAAGCACCATTATAATTGATAAATATTTATAATGATTTATACCTATAAACACAAGTTTACTATAATCCCATGTAAAAAATAATTTGTTTTACATAGTGTTAGATTTCTTCCCAGATTTAAATGTCATGAAAATCCTTGGATAATTTGAAACATCCGAGTCTAATAATAAGGGAACAAATATGACAACTGATTTTAGCAGTACTTTATACTGGGAAAAAAATTTGCATCTTATTTTTTCGTGAATCACATTAATGCCCTGCAAAACAGTGAAACAATCATCCCCATGAAAATGCTCTGCTATTTTACCTCCCGTTATAAAATCAGATGACTGACCTTGAATTTCTTATTTGCATCTCGCCTCATGTGAACAGTATCCATGAGACCATGTCCCTCTTCAAAAAAGGCAATTAATTTATCCAGTGAAATATTAGCTGGGAATCCTTTCTGGAAAATAAAAGGTCAATTGTTTAGTATATCAGCTATTAAGAAATGCTAGGCCTTTTAATTTAAGCATCTTTCCAGGATGAAGTAAAGGTTAAATCACACATGTCATTATATAAATCATGTAATTTTATAAAACATACAAGACTTCGAATTCTCTTACTTCAGTTTATATCTTGATTTTCTAAATAATGAATTTATAAACTTATTTTCAGTTTAGATAACCACACAGCCAATAAGTTGAGTTTTGAATTTCTGTGACCTTAAAATATTGCATGTTTGGCATTAACCTATAAACCAACCCCCTACTGAAATAATTTGATGATAAATCCCATATGTTTTTTAACTATTGCAAATGCCTTTCCCAGAATCTTAAAACAGGTTTCCACCCTCTGAATCTTTCATATTAGTGTTTTTACTTCAGTGTCATACACACTTGTTTCTTACTCTCTCCACCACTAAAACAAATGAATGACTATGACTTGTGAGCTTTGCTACACAAAACATAAATTTAACACTGTTTTTTCTCCCTTTTAAAATATTTTCCCTTCCCAGGGCTCTCACACCCCATTTTGGGACTGGGGCCCGGGGCCCTTAGAATTGGGAAAAATAATGGTGTTTTCCTTAGAATTGGGAAACTTGGGGTCTAAATTGGGAAAAAAAGATACTATTTTGCATTGGGATATTCGGCCCCAAATCTGGCAAATCAAGAGCCCTGCTTCCTACTGACCAAAGTCCTGGGAGGATGGGTCAATATCATTCAGAAAGTCTACAGGTCAAGTCAAAAGACTGCATTACACTATAGAAACCTAAACACATCCAAATCCTGCTTAAAAAAAGATTTACTTCTGTAATTATAGGCATTGTTCACAAGCCTTAAATAAATTCAACATTGGCATGGAATTATACTCTAGAGCGATATATGGAAATACCTACAGCATATACTGTTTTCTTCTGTATTTCAGATCGTCTGTCCTCTGTGTTCTCTGGTAGTGGCATATCGGGTGATCTCCTCATATAAACGCCATCCTTACTGACCTATCAAACACATAACAATACATTAATTTTATAATCCTCATCAGTTTATTTGACTTCTTACAAGGACAACTAGTTATTGATGCCTTAAGTCCTATTAACAGCCAGGGTAATTTATGGATGTGCCAGGTTTGGGTGGTGGAGGAAAGCCAGAGTTCCAGAATAAAACCTTGGACCTGCAGACAGTACCTGGTGACTGCCCTAACGAAAGCCTCCAACCCACAACTCAGAGGTTGAGGGCTTATGATAAAGAAGGCCACATGTCTTAACCACTCTGCCACCACACCCCCAAAAGGATTAATGTGAACAAATTTCAAAACTAATTTTTAAATTGGTAAAAAATAAAAAGGACTTATGGAAAGATTTCACAGATAAGAAACTGAATTTTTTTTTTCATTGTATATATAAAAATCTTATAATAAATAGCAATACAGTAACAAAGGATGCTAGGAATTTATCACTGCCTTTGGACAAGACTTGTTACATAGTGTTCACTGAGGACAATAAATGCTTGCAACTGAAAACCTATCCAGAAAATCATAAAAGTCTTTGCAAATATCATTCATTCTTCTTTTAATATAAAATTTCAGCTATTACAATTAAAGATCACCATAGACTTTTTTCTCTTGAATCTTTAATTGGAAAATATGAGATGTGACAAAATGTTTACTGCAACTTTGGTTCTGCATAAAGCAGTCTTGATTTGTACCAAAGCATCATGTTAGGAATTGATGTTATGGAAATTAAAGACTGCCTTCACAAATACCTTCACTATCTAGAGGGTTCATACAAATTTTATGTAAGCATCATATTTTAAAAAAAAGTTTATTTCATCATTCAGTAATCAATATGATGAAAATGCTAACCATATGCAGATGTTTTGACAATACTTTACCTCGAGAAGTCCAGAATCTGATTTCCTTATAGCTGTTGCTATCATTTTAAGGTTGGAGGTGAGCTGTTTCAGTCTATTGAATTTGGTCATTACAGCCAGTGACACCCCTAAAGTTAGTGTTAAGGTTCATATAGTAAAGGATACAAGCAGGTAAATATCAAAATGGTAAAGTAATCATTTCAAGGATGATGGAACGCGATGTCACACAAATCAATATTTTTAGAAAACAATTTCTTCAGGTTGGTGATGTCAATAAAAGTTAAGTTCTTATAACATGACCAGAAGATTTGAGTGCGACATTTCAATGACTCTCACACATCTATGACCAAGTGTTAAAGCCCAGCTGAAATGATTACAGTACATTGTTACCACCTTCTGTAAATTTTTCTTTTTTTTTTTAATAATCTGTTGACCATCTTGTCACGCAATGTTTGGCCTAAGTAGTGTACACAGGATTAAAGCCAAACAATTGGCTTATTCCTTTAATTACCATCTCATACACTATGTGCATCAGTGCTAGTATGCTTCACACTGGTCATTTGTCTGATGAAGTTGACTGTGTATTCTTCAAAACATCACACTCGAACCTTGTAATTGTTGTGTTATAAGAACTCTCATTCTGTAGATTAACTTTTTCACTGGATATAACACCCCTGAAGAGCTAGCATTATTTTGAGGTGGAAATTCCTTGCAGAAGCTTGTGTCTACCTCATAGAAAAGCATGTTGGAGGCCTGTTGCATGCTGTTAGATAGTAAATGTGTTTTGCCCAAGAACACAACTATACCCACACAAGACAGTCGGCTATCTCAGCTCACTACACACACCTTCCATCCCCACGCCTCCTACAACTCCCTAAGAAGTGTAAGGACAAACTTTCTCATTAGCCAAACATGAAAACTACAAAACTTTGGGTAAATAAGGATACATCCATCAGCATCCTCTCTGATCTGTTCCTGAAGAAATCGATCCCGTGGTAGATTCATGTCTCCAAAATAATACTGCAAAAAAAAAAAAAAAAAAGATTTATGTAATCATTCATGTAGCAAAACATTCATAATTATCTGTAATTGTTATTGATAAATACAAACTTTATAAACAATACAACAGAATGCGAGGATTCAATTTTTCTTCTTAATTATATCAACAACAGAAACTCACATTCGTTCCTTTTTTTCTGCTTATTAATTAGTAATACACGAATTAGTGAGAAATTATACAGCATATTTTTTTTAAATTATGTTCAATTTAGAAGCTAATGACACTATTGTTTATCTACATCTCTATAGACCTTGGTGTTTTACTAAATGGCTAATTTCCTCAGACCAAGATACAGTAAACCTGTCAGTTTAAATAGATGGCTAGTTTAACCATGTAAGTTTTTTCTCAATAAAAACAATCATTTTCTGTCTTGTTTCATAACAATTTGAATCACTCAAGTACATAGACAGGTCACATGTCTAAACCAGCTTTTAATAGGGATATCAGCATCCAATTAACTGCTCAATGTGTCACTATTCATACAGACGATAAATGCAGCAGGTAGAAGGTTGTAAATGACTATTGTGATTTTTTTCAATGCTGTTCACTGTTGCACCATACATGTGCCAATTGATATAACTTCAGGCCCTTTCTTTGTATAGATATCAAACAAGCAATATACTGAGCATGGAATGTTGACTTGTAATGTCAAAGAGTAACAGTGTTTTACTAAAGATTTTGTTAAGATAATTTTGCCAAGAATATCCCTATTTATAAAATTAAGCAATTGTAAGACTTAAAGTAATAAAATATGCTTTGCAAATACCACCAATGGGATGATTTTAATAAAATAATAATCTGTAATGTTAATCCAGAGTTTGTGTACAGCTACACCAATACTAGCTTTCACCAATACACTGGAATACATGGCTTTTTCACTGCACATGTTTTTACCTCAAGCTGTTTGATAATTTTTTTTTCAAGGGCATTTGGTGGGCCTAAAGGTGGAAGAGGATCATCTTCTGGTATCACTGCATATGTTCCTATTGTCTCTTTAGCTGCTGGTTCATTATCCTCTTTCTCTTTTCCATTAACTTTGTCCCCACTTTCTGTTTCGGATCTTTGTTCTTTATTTTCTGTTGTGGTGGCATCTGTCTGTTTCACTTCATTCATTTCTGAGTCACCATCAGCGGTGGCCATTCTAAAACATAAAGAATACATATATAACTGGGATTATTTATAAAATGAAGAGTTATAAATAAATAGCCCTTATGGGGTCTTGGGGGCCACCTAGGACCCCATCTGGACCCAGGGGCAGCATTAATTAATTTTAGCAAAGTCTACCTGGTAAAATGTCCCATTCATGCACCTCAATGATTATTTTGAAAAAACTTTGAAGCAAAAACTTGTTCAAAAAACGTTTAATTTGGTAGAGAAATTTTTAGTGGCCCTCTTCTGGATTGCTTTCAAGCCAACGCTTTAGACTTTATTTCATTTTCTCTGACCCCTGTTGGCCTTTTGGGTTCCTCGTGAACATCATTTTGCTTTTGAAAAATGTTATAGGTTGTTGATTAGATGGATTGAAGTTTAGAAAGTTTCTATTGTTTTGGGTTTCAGTGCAGCCATGTCATTTATCATGACTATCTAGATCGTCAGAGTGCTTATATCAGGGCATGGAATAAAAATGAAACCGGTCAAATTTGGGATACAAGTAACATACATAGTAGGGTCAGTTAAATTCTGAATTTCTTTATTTAGTTGGTTATTAGAATAAAACCAAAGGAAGAGGCACCAAGACACTTAAAAACAATAAACAATAACAAACAGTGTGTCAGAAATTACCCATATTGGATAAAGACAGTGGGTCATATTGACAACTTAGGGGTCAATTTGTCACTTCAATCAAATAAAGCGGTATCATTTCATCAATTATGGACAATGGTGCAGACCAAAATGAACCCTGCTTTATAACAAGTACCTCACACTAGTCAACTTTTTCAAATATTTTGTCTCTGAATATAGCGCTTGTGTAATTCATAACCTAGGCCTACATTTACTGTGAATGTGAAAAAGAGTGCTCTCGAACTCCTCACCACAAAATATGAAATAAATCCTCTGAATTCAGACATATAGGTACACTGTTAAACTCAGAGAGCTCGATTTTTTTTGTATTATAAATATAACCGAACAAAATCTTATTTCTCATTTACATGCTCACACATATCTATATAATTAAACCGGGTAAGTACATTCTAAAAATGGATTTACACGTGCATTAATTTTACTTTGGCTATACATTGGATTATTTACACAGTGCAGTGTATGGTTTACTGAACTGTACATAAATTAGACAACATTTACATGTATGTTTCGTTTCCAAATGTAGTTTTTAACATACGTGTTAGAATTAAGAAGAGTGCTGGGCATGGGAGTCAAAGTTCTTACACTTGTACAAGCTTATTCTAGTAAGACACACAGATAACAGGTTAATCAAGCTGATAACAATCCGTACTTTACAAGACACTTTGTAGTGCAACAATTAAAACAATAGTAATAGAAAACTGAGACACAACTTTCGTTTTCCCATGAACATGTCTCCAAACGAAACGCCGAAATATGCCAGGTTTTCTTTGTCATCTTTAACACTTACAAAAAATGCCATGAGTTTTAATAGTCATCCGTTTACAAAAGCTCATTTTCTGATGGGTAAAATATTCGGTTCTTACCTCTTTCTTGTTTCTGTTGTGAAATGTGTAAGCTGGTTTAGAATTTATGTGGATGTTATTACACAGGCAGACCACGTTTTTGCGTCAGGCACCTGCGCATGCGGGTGAGATTCTTCCGGTTCCTTTGTACTGGTGACTACTAAATTAAACGATAGAAATAATGGACATGATAGTCCGTGTAACAAACTACTTCGGTCCTAATACCCATATAGAGCCTCTGATCTTATTTTAAACAAATGTCTGTCAAACAATGTTTATGGGGATGGACTAGTATAGTAGTAAAAACAACAAAGGCCAACTCGGACAAATTCCATGCAATTAGTGTAGGCAACAACACGGAGAAAGAGGAAATTGTTTTAGTATAAGTAGCACTGAGATTAAAAGCGAAGAAAATGATTTTTTTTTCATGTGTGAATATTGAATTCCTTTTAAATTTTGATGACCACATGTAACACATCTGTTCCAAAACCTCAAGACAAATAAAGATCATGGCGCAAATTTCTTAAGATTTGAGGCTAGAAGGGCGAAAGGCTTTTGTATTTCAAACTTTAATTTCTGTCCACTTATATTTCTACTCAAAAGCAAACACCCAAAAGTTGAAGCGAGTAAATTTTAGAGCACTTAAGTATGATTTTCAAGACATTAATTCATCATATGAAGAACTTTTAGAAAAAAAAGTATCCAATGTACACAATAATAAACAGAAACTTTGCTGATTTAATTCGTGGAAAACCTTCCAACTTTTAGGTATGCTAGAATTTTAGACCTATCATATAGCAAGAGAGTGGTATGATGATATTGAAAATAGTAGCCGTGGTCAAGTGTACTCTATTTTAAATGTTAATGTTGGAATTGAAAAGTATCTTTAGAAACTTAACCATAAAAACAGAAATATAAGGTGTACATTTCGCTCATCCAATCTTCATTTACCAGTTGAAACAGGTAGATGGACAGGAATTCCGCGATAAGATAGGGTTTGCATTTTTATGTACTGAGGAAGTAGGTGACGAAGTTCATTATATATTTAAGTGTAACAATCCAAGTGTTTGTCAATCAAGACGTAAATTAATTCCGGAATAATGCTTTAAATACCCAAAATTCACAAAATGTAGGGTATGTTTACCTTATGAAATGTTGAATTACTCAACAGTGTTGGCTTCTTTATGGAAAAATATCTAAATTACTGTAAGGCCATCATGTAATCTTGTTTCTTATATTGAAGCTGCATTGTTGCTATCAAATTATATTTAATATCAAGTATTGTATAGACAATCTATATTGTAGTTTCTCTAGTGCTACATAGTTTAAACATATTTTATTTCCAAAATAAATTTGAACAAGGGAATTGGGCACAAGTTATTACAACTTATTGGAGCCCTCTCCCATCATACCTTTTCAAATACATGCTTATACAGATATAGGCTTAAACATAAATTATACATATTAAGCACACATATCTATACAATGTAACTAAATTGTTACTATCAATGTGCATTTAGTATCAATTATTGATTAAACAACCTGTATTGTAGTTTCTTTAATGCTATATATATATATACAATGTATTACATTGTTACTACCAATGTATATCTATAACTAGTACAGATGTATTGATTCGACAATCCTGTAACATTGGTCAGAAGGAAAATTAATGACATTTCTAGTGCCACAGATTTACTTTCTTCGATATAGGGTGATATTTCAGTTGTGAATGGCTCAAACACGCTTTTTGTTTTCCAAAAAATCGAAAGTAAACAGAAAGTATTTATCACAAAAGTTTTCGAGATTACTTTGAAAATTGAGATTTCTACTGTACTGTTTGTTTTGAAACGAAATATTAGGAGTGTTTTGGTATATAAAGACAGCAACGCTAATTAACTATAACTGATACAGTATTTCAATTCAAACTGTTACGTAATATAATCATCGTACAGAAATTATCAATTTATACGTTACAATAAGTACGTTTCTAGACAATTATAATAATCAAATATCAAAATAGATACAGACACGGATTTTCTAGCATTTGAAACAAATAGGACAAAACAGTCTCAAATCCCACTATTATGCGTTTCTGAATTTACGTGACAAAGCTGACTTTCAATACTTTGTTGAAAGAAGATTTGGTTATGTTGGCGTGTTAGTATTGCATTTAGTACACTGTATATCATTATATTGGACTTGAAAATTAAGAACATGGATTGATATTGCAACAACTACGAAAATGGATTTCATTAATGAATTGACTTATTGACTGCTGTTTAAATGTAAATCATAAATCTTATTGAGAAATAAGATGTACGAGTTCAATGAATTCGAGATTTGCTCGGTAATATGTATTTATATTGGGTAGAAGCATTGTCACAGTAGATGGAAAATGTATTTTTTAAAAGCTGTGGTTAATCAATTTCTTCTTTTCCTTAGCGTAATGGGTCACTTTAAGATATAGTTAACGGGAGATAATATTGATCCTGTCCAATCCGAATGCTTGGTCAAGAGTTTTCAGTTGTTAAACTTCAAGTTTTTATTGCTACAGTAATAATCAATTGTTCTGTTCAAATGTATTTTCAAATTCTAGATCTTTTCGCCGTTTTATTTGTTTTAAACCAAATCCAGGAGTGTCTTTATCATACGCAACCTGACCAAATAAGATTTCTTCGTATATTGACTGTAGTAATATGTGAAATCATATAGAAAATAGAGCCAGATGATGAGAAATTAGCCCATGAAAGAGATGGCTAGAGTTCACTGATGTCCAGGTAAACCAAAGGGCTTCTCAGTTGGGGTTTTACTGGCGCTTCCTTCGAAATAACAGACCACATGCACTCCTACAGTAAAATGTGATTTTTTTCAACAGATACTGTTGAAATGAATTGTAACATTCTGATTTTTATGATAATCATTGAAGGTGGTTATTTTTTGCTTGTGGTTTTGAACATGGAAATTTATGGTATTACGGATTCAAATTCGAAATAAGTCCGACATGTTCTGTACCGTATTATTATGGACTAGTAGATGTGTAACCTCTATGTAGGCCACAACAAATACCTTTATAACCATAGCTGCACGGAATCCAAGACTGATAAAATCACTCATCCATTACTGACCCCATTCTACCTTGCGCTCCCGTGCCCAATTATTCAATACGAGCTAAGGGGACATAACCCATGGTATATAATAGAAATAAATGCAATTGCAAATGATCCAAATAGCTGCAAAATCTCACCATATTTCAGTGTTTTCGTGAAAATATTGTTACCTAATTTGTTATTTTAACACAAATACCTCTCAACAGTTTGGTTTTATTAGTTGCATTAAATTTCAAACGAAAATGTGTACTATATATGTAAATAAATGTATACAAACACAAACGACTCTTTGGACCCGATATAAGAAATACGCAAAAGGGTGGATGGTGGGAATGTCTCTACAATAGCAGATTGGTATATAGGAAACCATGAACGTCTTAACAAAAGAAAGATTTACACGAAGATGTCTAAAAAACAAAGAAAGTACCGTTATGTCAACAGAATCATAATCCAGACTCACTAAAACTAAGACTCATGGAAAGATGCAACTTTGGGAATACTTTTTCTTTTAACGCTTGAGTCGAAAAAGTCTGTTGATTCCATACCATCCCGTATACTACATACGTCAGCGCTAGTTCGCTTCACACTTGTCTATCTGATGAAATTGACCGTGTTCTCATCGAATCATCACATTAAAATCTTCTACTGGTTTTTGTTAAAAGAACTTGTATTTTATTTTATCTTTGTAATAAACTATAATTCGTAGACTACACCACAACCCCAGCCTCAGAGACATCAGTCCCTGTAAGTAAAGATGGTGGCCGGAATGGATTTATTCACCGCCCATAAGATGATAAATATCATTTCAGAACGTACAACCACAAGATCGTGAATTCTGTCTAGTTTGCTGATTCCGTTTTAAAAGACAGTTAAAACAGATTCTTTTTCTGTAATAATTACATCAGATTCAAGATAAAAAGCGATGCTAGTGGTACAGATAGTCTTCACCAGACATTGGAGTATTTCACTGACGAACTTCAAATCTACGAAATACAACGAAAATGAAATCTCACGGAAATGTTTTTTTTTTAAATACATTTGTGTTTTCCAAAGTTACATATAGAACGTTGTATTTAGGTAATATATTTATTTTCTACGGCAAGTTGACAACATTTAGCATTCAATCTATCTGCATGTTACCCTTATCCCTGTATTTATGAATGTAAGGAGTCAAGTGGTTTGTGCATACGTAAAACTGATAAAGCATCCTGTGCAAAATGAATTAATGTGTTATGGACCAGTATTGATGTTACAAGTACAACCTGTAACAAGCATAGTAAGAATGGCAGAATAGCAATGTCCATATCTAACTGATTCTGTTATAAAAATATGACGATACTAGTTACATTGTAGCAGACAAAGTTTATATATTGATTAAAAGTGTTCTGAAATAGCCCAATTTTTCTTATTATTCTTATTATTATTTCTTAATATTTGATAGTCTTTTTTTTTTGTCCTCCAAAGAGCTACGCCTTTGAAAATATCTGTTTCGAAAAGTACCATTTTAACTGACATCGCTTGAAAAATAAAATAATGTTTAAGTCAGAATGAAAAGAAAAGTTTGATATTATCCTCCAATGCCTTAACCAATATCTTAAAATATATCGAACCGATTCTTGTCAGGCAGTCACTCGGTAACAGGTCGACAGAACCATGATATGGACAGAACAGTGACGTTCGTCGGTCAGAAGATATCCTGACACGGGATCGAGTAACGGAGACGGAAAACTTGTCACCTAGCTAACCAGGTATTATATATACTGTCGATAGGAAGCCAACAACACGCAATCCTGTCTTTGGCAAATAGTTTCCTTTTCTAAAAAAATCAGTGCTAATTTTACCGGGATGAAATTATTTTCAATTTTTGTTTACATATTTTCTAAAAATTAGTTCATCAAACCAGGTGGAATTCCTAATTTAATGATATGTGTTCTTTCAAACTGTATATCGTTTTAGTGTATTTTACGTGCATATTTATATCATAAGTGTAGACATAAGATCATTAGTATGCAATGATTTTTTTTCAAATCCGGATCTCAAACCATACCGTCATTCGATTTTTGTATTATTCTCCTTCAGCACGACCCTGGAAGCCATGCGGACACTGGACGTTACATCATAAACTTCTTTTCTTTCTGCGGTGTATCTACAATTTGCCATTCCAAATAACTTTGCATAGACATTTAATAAGTTACAGTTCAAACATTTTCTCAGTAACATGTCAAAACTTTTCAATGCATTAGGAACAATCGGCCTTGGCCTGGCTGTCGGAGCTAGTGTTGTGAATACGGCACTCTACAATGGTAAGGTTATTCGCCGGTAGTTTGCTTGTGAGTTTTCTGATGAAATCAACTGCAGTGTTTTCTAATGGAAATCTTTCAGATAAATATTTCATTTAATGTATCAAATACTGCAAACTTTCCTGGGTACTAGTCTAAAGCCTTTTCAGCAGCCAGTCCCTACAAGTTTACAGAACCATGCTAACGGTCAGGAAATAAGGTCAACTCGTCTCATTTCTCAAACTGCACGGACAACAGAGCTTCTACTAACAGTGTACCAAGAGTTTTAGCTTTCAGATACTGTGTCATGATAGGAAGTCCTTTGCATAAAGGAACTGGAAAATTTCGAATCCTCTATTGATTTACAGGCATTGCTAATGTATATATTTCAATTCTTACATAACACATACACAATACTGCAATTATAAGCTTATCAGAAGAGTTCTAATCACTATTTGTTTCCGTCAATTAACCGTAAAGACAAAAATTAACACAGGGAGATCTAGTCGGAACCAGTGAGGTTATATACTGACCTTCAAATTAGCAGAGGTCTGTTTAAGGTAATGCAGGACTTTAAAACAATTCTCACAATGACATGAAATAAAGCACAAGAAAAGTACAGAAAATAAATACTAAAGACATTTTTGAAAAGTGTACTTGGTTACTCAATTTGGAACTGATTTGAACCTGCTTTCAAGTCAAGTACAAAAGTACAGACAGAGAAAAAAAGGCTATTTGAAGTATTTTTACAGAAAGAGTATTTAAAAAGTATAAAATTAGCGCAGAGTATCAACAAAGTACATCTGACCAAATTGATAGTGTACCTATTTTGTACTTCTATATGTTTATAATACTTTTACTGGCAATTTCAGAAAGTGTTGAAAAGTGCTAAAGTACAAAGCAGGAATATGGAAAAAAGTAGAAAAAAAAAATACAAAGTCTGCATGGGACAATTTGCATAAGAATAGTACTTGTCCTTTACTGCTTTATTTGTATATTTACAATAATATCCAAAAAGTACATAACTATGTTGTAAAAAGTACCATTAAAGGCCCCAAAAAGTACAACATTGAACAAGCATTTGTCAGATTTATACTGATGTAACAAAAGTAATTAGTTATTTCAATGCCCTCATTTGGATTCAAATCCAGGACTCCAGGTTTCTAGTCTGACACTCAACCTATCGAGCTAAAGAGAAGTTCTCTCTAGCCGAGTTGTATATTGTTTCTGTTATTTTACCAGGGATGCATACTCCCCCTCCAGGAAAGAACTCATCCTCAAGTTTTCCAGGGGTTCCAGTAATGCTTATGGGGCATGACTAAATGTTTTTCCCTAGTTCCTACATAGGCACCAATGTAACAGAGGTTATTATTTATTTCAATGCCTCTGCTAGGATTTGAATCTGAAATCTTTGGCTTACTAGTCTGATGCTCAACAGATCAAGATAAAGTTCTCTTTAGTCGAGTAGTATATTTTGACTACTATTTTACCAAGGATACATACTCCCCCACCAGAAAATTGTTTTGAATTTTTGTTCCTCTCATGGAAAATATTGTAAATTTTTGTTCTTCTAATGAAAATATTGTAAATTTTTGTAATAGTATGATAATTGCATACACATACATTGTATTTGAACAAGTAACAATTATAATAAGTTTCACGTCATATTAGCAAAATTGTCTGAAATTTTGGTTGTTCTTGAAAATGTTGTAAATTTTTGTAATGACTCGGAGTTTTTATTAGAAGCTTTGAATCTGTTATATTACTATGTATACCTGTAATTGTTTTTCTGCTTATGGAATACCACTGATAAAAGCTAGTTGTAAGTTACCTCTAAATGAACAACTTTTATCTAAAGAACAACACAAGATCTCTACATTTCTGAGATCTGTGAGTCCGTTCTGATCTCTACTAATTAATCATCTTTTAAAATGATAACATGGATTATTTAATATATTTCCTTAGTTTATTTTTTTTTCATTATAGACCCAAATACTGATGTAACTTGACTGCTGAGTACAAATTTCAATGTTTCAGTCGATGGTGGACACAGAGCTGTGATATTCGACAGATTCCGAGGAGTACAAGAAAAAGTGATCGGAGAAGGGACACATTTTATGATTCCATGGGTACAGAAACCAATCATTTTTGATATTCGTTCCAGGCCTAGGAATATAGCAGTGGTCACAGGAAGCAAAGGTTTTTATTATTCAATTCTTTTCCAAAATATTATGATATTACGTATATGTATATATTGTGTAGTAGGTTGTGACCAATTTTTGGAAAAATTCAAATGAATCCTATATAATTTGATATTCATTACATGCAACAATACTAATCAATTTTATGTAAATAACAATTCCTCATTCTGAAACAATACGTTCTTAACCACACTGAAAACACTGAAAATTGAATTTCTATAAATGAAATCAGGAACATTCTCTTCATTTTTATCCTCCCCAAAGGGAGCACATATAGTCACTGCTTTGTCTGTCTGTCATCTGTCATAAAATTGCCTGGAGCATAATACAAAAACTATAAGAGGTATCAACATAACACTTCATAGGTAGATAGATCACAGCAAGAAGTGCAGTGCACAAAAACATCACTTTCTCTTGCATTATTTAGGAGTTATTGCCCTTTGTTATTTTTCGTACTTAAATTCTGTCAGTAGCATTACACTAAAACTGTAAAAGGTATCAACATGAAACTTTATAGAAAGATCTCAACAAGGAGAAGTGCAGTGCACAAGAACTCTTTTTTTGTGTGCATAATTTAGGAGTTTTTGCCCTTTGTTATTTTTCATACTTTAATTTTGTCTGTAGCAGTACACTAAAACTATAAGAGGTATTATCATGAAACGTCCTAGGTAGATAGGTCTCAAGGAGTAGGAGGACACAAGAATCTTACTCTTTTATTGTCCTTTGTTATTTTTCATATTTAAATTTTGTCCCGATCAGGTAGCATAACCCTGGTGGCCCTTGTTTTTCTTACTTCTCATTTCCTGTAACATTTGGCAAATTTGTGTTTTTTACAGATTTACAGAATGTTAACATTACACTCAGAATTCTGTTCCGACCAGTAAGTGCCAATCTTCCTAAAATTTACACAAATCTTGGACTTGACTACGATGAAAGAGTTCTCCCATCAATCACTAATGAAGTTTTGAAAGCTGTGGTGGTAAGTTTTCATAATTTGTAACAAAATTGTAAAATTCTGCAGTTTTTATTTAACTTCATAATTATTTTGGGCAAATTTGTTACCAGAAATGAATGTAGTTAGGGATGAAATATGCACATCTGTACAGATTAACTGCAAAAATATTAACATGGAAAATGTAAGATCATTAATACACAACAATTGTTTAAGACAATTAGGTACATTCGTGCTGTAAGGATTAATTATGGGGTTTTCTCTGTTAATTTTTTGAAGCAGCTGAACTACCAACTTTATTACCTATTTCAATGCTGTACAGATAGAACATAATGTAAATGAATTCATACACACCTACACTTGCTGTGTTAGGAAAAATGATACATTATCTCAGTCAGTGGATCATTGGACCTGACAACCTCGGGTAAAGATCCAAGGGACAATTTCTCAGGAAGTTTGGAAATCAAAACGATATGCAAGCATGATTGTATCCATCGGCAATACACTTTACCCTAGTTGCTCTAGATAGTGGCAGGTCTCTCGTATGTTCTTCAGTTAGTCACCAGTTTCTTCAAAATGACTCAAAATGATACCGACTGTTGATAAATATTTTCATGACATTTTCTAGATCCAGTTTGATGCCAGCGAAATTATTATTTTTCAACTTTTTGCATTACATTTTTTAGGCCCAGTTTGATGCCAGTGAAATGATTACCCAGAGAGAGGTTGTGTCAACAAAGGTCAGAGAAGAATTGACAGACAGGGCACAACAGTTTGGCGTAGTCCTTGACGACATTTCTCTGGTATGCTGATTTTCACAAAAAAGATGTCAATATCTTGTGCACTTATATCTTGTTCCTTTGAATTGAAGGCTTGGCTCTTTTGAAATAAAACTTCACAAATGAATTATCAGTTGTAGGTTTGGTACATTGGTATTATTTATCAGTAATGAGTTGGGTTGTAAAAATTTAACACCTCAGACAAATTTCACACCTGTAACAGCTCAGGGCACTGTATATCTATATATACATACAAAATTCTGCTGGTGTTGCTTTTTGGTCAGTCAATATTTCATAATTCAGATGAAATACTAAACACAAATCCACCACTTCTGAAGTTATTCTGGATCGTAAGTACGAGGAAGGTTACCTGAGAGAATGCAGCATTACTTAGATTTCAGTGCAGCAGAATTTTGAATCATCTTATGATTGGTTTCAGACACATCTCACATTTGGCCGAGAATTTACACAAGCTGTAGAACAGAAACAAGTTGCCCAACAGGATGCCGAAAGATCAAGATATCTTGTAGAAAAGGTAAATAGGGATCACTCACCAGAAGCCAAAGCAAGCTTATGTTGTGTAACACAGTGTTGATGTTGGTTATCTGTCTGGTTGGTCCTTGTCAACATTTCTCTTTTAACGACTTGTTCTCATTATAACAAGACACAAACTCCTGTGGGCAGTAGCATGCTAAGGATAAAATTTGTTCGGAAAATATCTTTTGAGTAATGCAGAGAATGAGGGTCTTGATATTTGGGCCAGTATCTATCTATAATGAATGAATATCAAGCTTATGAAATGAATCTTCTTTGCTCTTTCAGAATTGAAAGGGTTGAATACGTCTTTAAATAATTCCTTCCGGGTCATGCCAATTTTGTTATTTGGCCTGTTTGTTCAGATGAATGCCCTTGAGCCACTTTATCATATTGCATGTTCTTGAGCAGTGACGCGACTGATGCAAGTTGCATGCATTCAAGATGACATTTAAAGAATGAAGTGTACTCAATATATTTAGCTTGCAGATTCATGCTTAGTATACAGACCTGATAGCATATAACTTATGTCAGAAATTTCATGATTAAACCAAATACATAAAGCTACAAATATCAGAAATACTAGCAGTATAATTCTAGAGTTAGTTTAATATGTGTTGATTTCATTTCTAGGCGGAGATGAACAGGGAGGCAGCAGTTATTCAGGCCCAGGGTGACTCCGAAGGAGCTGAACTGTTAGCAAAAGCCTTCAAAAGTTCAGGGGAGGGCTTGATCGAGTTACGTAAACTGGAGGCTGCCGAGGAAATTGCATACCAAATGTCCCAGTCTAGAAATGTGACCTATTTACCATCGGGTCAACAGACATTGTTATCTCTACCACAGTAACCACCAACTTAAGAAGAGAAAAAACATTATTAGAACATTGTTTATCTGTGTTAAAAGAAACCATTTCATTTGTTTGTGAAAAAATACATTTGAGATGTATTCAGAGACTTCGATGTATAAGTGGATATTTTGAAGACAAAACTATGTTCAAATACACTTCTGTAGTGTGTTGTTTGTATGTTTTAATATCTTTAGTTCTGATAACTTTGGTATGATAAAAACTAGGTATCGTCCAATGTTTGATGTCAAGATGAACAGCTGATACACAAACTACCTGGTAAGCTTGTGTATAATGACTAGGAAGTAAAATTGAGAACAAAATAAGAAATTTATAATAAAAATTCAGAACTGATGTTATTAATATATATAAAAAAACAAATGATTATGATCTTTATAAAACAATATATTAGATAACATCATTGTAATTGAATGAATGTGTGTGTGATTTGTAATTCTCGTCAAGATTCCTGAATAAAAGGCGATAGATGATACTATTTCTTTTTTTTTCTCTTCAAAAGAATATGATTCCTGTATTGTCTGTCTATCAGTCCTTTTGTGTCCGGAGCATTACTTTGCCCACAGTTAAGCAAGGATAATGTATACATAGGCAATACTTAGACAAAATTCAGAGCACACACCTCAATTACAGTATTATCAACTTGGTGCCCAGAGCATAATTTTCCTTGCATTTGAACTAGGATAATGAGACTAAAATTTGGTCATACTAAGAGGATATGCAGTGTACCAAGTTTAGGGCCTGCAATTCCTGAATTACAGAGTCCTTTATGAAACATTTGGTGTCCAGATTATAACTGCTTTCATCTAAGCTAGGATAAAACTTTGAATATTCATTGGTCATACTGGTAGGATAGGCAGTATACCAAATTCAAGGCCAGCAATTTCATGAATAGGGAGTCATTGCCCTTTGTTGAAATTTTCATGTCCAGGTAATAACTTGGCTTGCATTTACACTTGGGTAATAAAACATATGTATACATCAATCATATTGCCCTTTGTTAAACTCATGTGTCCAATTAAGTTAGTTTTCAGGAGCATTCATCAATTTTACTGATCTTGCTTTTTAGGAATGAATTTCATTGGCTTGATATATAATATATGACAGATATTTATCTTAACACACAACAGTAATTGAAAACTGTATATATTAAAGAATTTCCAAACATCTGACCAAGTCTTGACAGTAGTTTACAGTTCTGCAGAATAAGAGTGCTAATGGGACAAAAATGTGTTGTTAAAACTTGACAGCTGACTTCATACTTTTGTTCATTCACTGCAGTGTAAACTGTCATCAAGATTTGACAGAGGAAAGACATTCAAGAGAGCTTGTAACATAGTTTTAATTGTCGTTTGTAGGATGAATATTTTACTAGGGGCATGGATTCATCTTACCCGAGACAAAAGTTTACATGTATTTTTATTGATGGACATTTTGTTGTGACATTATGAAGCAGAGTAGATTTAAGCAAGTCATCTGACAAAAAGTCGATGTTCACAATGTGAAAGATCAAGGTTTAATCAACCTCTTCCTAAATATTTATGTATTTCCGTTTTTAGGTCACCCGAGACAAATTTTTAGCATAATGTTGTTTATTTCCTATTTGAAAAACCTTGATAAGAATTATCAATATAGGATGACAGTTTTGATGGTATGCATGTATTGACACTGTTATTGATGTCACTTTTTGTTTTTCGTGACACTTGAAAGCTCCTTACCCTATAACCATTATATTCAATATTGCTTATCTTCGGTAACTGTCAAATTTGTTAAGCTTTCTGTTTTGTTTTTTTTTAAGGGGGTGAGGTTCTTTTTTTTTTTTAAGATTTTGAGTCAATGATAGAGGTGCAAAGAGGCTCATTTTATAGGCCCTCATATTAAATTCATTACTGATAATAAGCAAACATTCTGATCAAGATTGACATTCTGGGGAATTGACCTGCAAATTACAGAATTATAAATTTGTTCTGGTTTACAGATAAGAAAATGAAATGGGTCATATTAAAAGTACCTAGGTGTAGGTCAGCTAGATATTGTGTTTAGACGGGAACTTCTGCTGTATCAATGTTGATACCAAGTAAGGAATTATTATTAAATGGCATTGTTTGGCTGTCTTTAGGAATTTAAAAAATCATTGAAAATTTAGAAACTTTATTTTATATTGATTACAAAACAGATATTTCAACTTTTATTAAATCACACTTGTTGGCACGGATGTAAGCACACACGCAGTCTTGCTGTAGAAGGAAACTAGAGTAGCTAGGGGAAACCCATGTGGCTGGCAAGGCGATCCCTCATACCTTTCCACATCAAAATCATTACACATTAACAAAGAATTGAAGAATGAGTTTTCATTTTGTAATTTCAGATATATTCATCACTTAAATAAGCAAAATAGTGAGCCTTAACTTATTGTAAACTGTATTATGTAGAAAAAAGAACACCTGAAATATTCTGTAAAATCAGTTTATTTTTCGTTGTTAAAAACAAAACAAAACAATAGGATGAGGGCCATAGCTCTTAGTGTCATTTGACAATGGACGGACACACCACAAAAATTACTAATGGTGGCCCAATAAATCTGATGAATTCAAATTATGAACATTCCTAGAAAGGATAAGAAACTCATAAATGGTAGATTTTGTTTATGATAAACAGTTGTTGTATCGGTTACAAAATGGCTACTGTGTCTACCATGTCCAAGTTTTGAGCAGGATAAAAAATAACATATATGTTTCTTTTCCTTAACAAATTATACTTCAAACATTTCTCTCAATGGTGCAAATGAAACTGGGGAAATTTAGTTAAGACTTTTTGTTCAAGATGAGTTATGTTGGGTTTTTGGACCAAACAAAAAAAACAAGATTTGGTCAGACAACCTCAGAAACACTTCATGCATATTTAATGTCAATTCAACTCTTTAATAATGTTTCAGACCAGAATTTAATTGAAATCTACCCAAGAATTAAGAAGGAGTAGTGTTCTAAAGCAAAATATTCTCTGTTTGGGGCCCAAAATCAACTTTTTGAATTTAAGAATTAGTTACCCACCTCTATAATGATGTTTCCGACAGAATTTGAATGAAATCCTTTCAAGCATTAAGGAAAAGTAGCAATTTGAGGCAAAATATTGACTAACTCTCCCTTTTGGGTCTCTGCCCACAGGTTCCTAGGGTTAAATCAGCTTTCTACATTAAAAAAAAGATTCATCCCAAATTTAGTTGACATCCACCCAGTTATTAAGAAGGATTAAGTCCCTTCAGGTTGAATAAACTTTCCAGATTCAAAAAATGATTCCCTACCCCAAATAATGTGTGTGGGTTTAAATGTACCCATATGTTAAGTAGGAGTAGTGTTTTAAAGGAAAAGTTACAGATGATGCAAGTTGACATACAATGCACGATAGCAATATATCATCTTGGCCCTTCGGGCCTGGTGACCTAAACATATTATAGTGTGGAAATTGGATTTCCTGGTGAAACATAGCTCAATAAATCTGTTTATACTGACGCAGGAACAAATCCTACAAAACAATTAATGATTGTACTGTATTCCTCTCAGAAAATTAATGACAGCCAGTGCCAAAACTTGTAACATCCTCCGAAGTTACTTGAAAGTACATGTCTCTTGTTTAACATGTAAATGATGGAGCACAGATATCAGAACTCTGCCTTTACATTGTAAGCAAAAAAACCCCAATATTCTCCTATATACCAGAAATATCCTGAGTAAGCTGCAGAGTGATTTACGGTAAGAAAGAAATAAAAATTGCATCTAGGTCAAAAAGGTCTGGGAAAATTAACAATGAGGTAATAGAAATCTCAACAACAGGACTTGTTTTCAGCACTTTCTCCATTTCTACATCATCACATTTCAACACTTCCAACAAAAATTGCCATCCATATTTTGAATACTTCTTTCTTTTTTTTTTGAAAAATCAAGGAAAGGATGACCTATTTTTTTCTGCACAGTATGTAACATTACCAATAAATACTGTTTCAATATTGTGTGCTGTTATAAGCCCATGCTCTTAAGTTGGATGTAAAAAAGATGGCCTCCTTTGGCTTATTGCACTGTAGGTATGGATAAATCATCTGGCAAGGCAATATATCAAAATTCATCGTGGAAGTTGTAGTTTGGACCCAACCACCAATGGTCAATATCTTCTACTGCTGACCAATCAACAAGATTCCACCAGTCCGAAACATGCTTCGGTCGGAGATTCTGGTGTTTGATATAATAAGCATGCTCCCAAACATCAATGACAAGAATTGGCATAAGTCCATCTGTAAGAGGCGAGTCCTGGTTAGCAGTTTTTGATATGGTAAGTTTTCCATTGTTATTAGGATCTCTACTCAGCCAGACATAACCTGAAAAATGAATTTAAAAATTCTATATTATTTTTATCAAACATTATAATACATAAATTTTACTCATATTTGTTATTTCAACCATACATATGGGAAATAAACATGTTCAAATTTCAGCTGACAATGGGATTAATACTGTGGCTAAGAACAATTTCTCATTATAGAAAGCCAAATTGAAACAGACAAACAGCAGTTTGAACACTAGATTTGTGATTGCCAGAAATCATAGAAATTAAGTCTCGCCTTGTGAAAGACTACTATTTCAGTTAACAGTAGTATCAAATTTCAACCAATCAGGTACCTCGGTTTTGTTGTTATGACAACCTAGCTTGCTCATACAGCTAAGTTTTTAGTCTTTCAATATATGCCTACTTCTAAACACCAAAGTGTCATTAAAATCAGATTATGTTTGAATCATGAACCAGTGAATGGCCATTGATTGGTCACTATCTATATATCAGCTTGGATGATGTCATTTAGATTCTGAATATTTGCAGAACAACAACAATACTTGTGCAAAGTTTTATATAAAGCTGATTAGTTAGTTAAGTCTGATGAAGGTGGGTTAAAAGTAAGGAAAGCTAATAAGTTAAGATGATGCTATTTTCAGCTCCAGATATTTGACCGGACATTTATCATCAAAAACATGATAATAACCTGATCCAAAGAGAGAAAGGGCTTCCTTAGTAAACTCTTCTTTGAAGGTGGAAAAATTTCCAAACGCTTTGATGATGTCATCGCCCAGTTGGTTGATTGGCTCTCTGTCATCTGAATTTGGATTTGGTGACATCACAGACCAGTACAAGTTATGGTTCACATATCTAAAAAATCCAAAACAGAGGTTATTTTAATCATTAATCTTCTCAATAGGACAAGCTTATATTCTAAGGTGTTATATGATCGTAATGTTTATTTGAGTACTAAATTGCTTCCCACAAAACAGGACCTTTTTTTTATTAAACATAACATCATTCAGCACCTTTATAAGATAAATGTAATTCACAGTTACTTCATGGTTTGTTGAGTGTTTATTTGTCTGTTCACTGTCAGGGTAATATTGAGTTGGGGTCTCCTTCCTCACTGAACAACATACAAGAGGCACATCCCAAGCCATCCTGAGCTACAAGGGTAATGTGTCTTGCCTATGGACACAACTACAGCACAGACTGGTCCATTTCTCAGTTTCCTGGGAAACATAACTCACCATGGGGATTGCTGAGTCACGCATGTCCGATTTTCACCTAAAGTTGCATAGGTCAAATCAAACTACTAACTGGGCTACACATGACCTCTGATTCAATGTGAGGAGCTGGACTCATTATGGGACTTGGTACTTGGAATAAGTCAGAAGGTGGATTCAATATAGGGCAAACAATAGGCCTAGGGGACCTTACACTTGACCTCTCATTCAAAGTCAACAGGTGTATTTATCATAGAGCAATAAGCCTAGGCAACCTCACACTTGACCTCTGGCTCAAAGTTGGGAGGTGGACTTATCATAAGGCAATAAGCCTATGTGATCTTACACTTGACCTCTGACTCAAAGTTGGGAGGTGGACTTATCATAGGACAATAAGCCTAGTGGACCTTAAATTTGACCTCTCACCCAAAGCCAGGAGGTGGACTTATCATAAGGCAGAAAACCTAGTGGACCGTACACGACCTCTGACTCAAAGTTGGGAGGTGGACTAATCATAAGGCAATAAGCCTATGTAACCTTACACTTGACCTCTCACTCTAAGTCAGGAGGTGGACTGATTACAGAACAATAAATGAACAAGGACATAGTAGTCATCAAGATCCTCTGCCCATGCTCATTTGTAAATATATATATCTAAAGCGAGCAACATGGAAAACTGGAACAGAGTCAGGTCACAGCAGTCTCATAAAATATGCACGTAATTAAAACTGAACAAGGAATTAAGTACTAAGTGTACAAAGCATTTTTTTTTTTTTTAAATCCTATCATTCCTTCATAAGATAATGTGAAGGAAGATTTCCCATAGAGTAATTGAAGAAATCAGCAAATCAGGTCACAGCAGTCTCATTAAATATCTGCAGAATTTGCTGTTCATCAAACTCGGGCAAGGGATTAAGGTAACAAGTGTACCAACCAAGTTTCAGTTTCATCAAAATCCAACCAGTCTTTCAAAAGATATCATGCAGAAAGCAGCATACAAATGGATGGAAGGACAGACAGAAAGACAGATGGAAGGACAGACATAACCAATTCGAATATCCCTGCCAACTTTGTTTGGCAGGAGATAATTAACATTGTTGAAAAGTATTGGATATGGATTATTACCAGACATTGAGTAATTGATGGATACGTTAGCAAAGTTTTTCACATTACTTGAGCCGACAAAACCAAACACTAACCCGCCACCGTTGTTTCGTATTTTAGTTTGATATTTTTCTGGTACATCTTCTAGACCAATCAGAATGTCCAAAATTGGTTTCTTCGCAAAAGATGCAGATTCTTTGACCTGAAACAATTTTTGATTCTATTCAATGTGTTTATATACAAACCTTAAGCGTAAAACAATATAATGACAACTAATATTCCTGTTCCTAATGCACCTAATATCTAAACAATTAAGTTAAGAATGGTGAAACTCACCAGTATTCATAAACACACATAATACAATTTTTCTGACAATAGGTCCAGGTCTGGTATTAAGCATATTTATAAACACACTTATGAGAAAACAAAATTGAAGAACCAACACTCTATATGTCTAAGATTGCGGCTAGGTTCCTGAATGCATACCAGAGGTATTCTGTACAGCTCCTTACAATGTGGTCAACATAAGGAAAAAAAATAAAGGATTCTCAACATCCAGGAACACTTGTTGTATTTTATTTATGTACTAATTCGTCGACATGTGTCTACCGCTATGTGGCGGTCATCTGGACACTTGATACAATTTTTCCTGACAATAGGTCCAGGTCTGGTAATACGCCCACCTATGGCTATTTCAGTGAAATAATTATCCTGTTCCTGTAATCATAAATCCCATATATCTTTACCTTGAGTCAAATTTTATGTCTTGGCCCCTGAGCATATTTACAATATCAACCAGAAATTCAACAATAAAGCTGAAATTGTCACTCCAACTTAAAAACATTGTCCAGATAACAAGGAACAGAATAGACATTTAATTCTGAGCATAGACATGTGTAGAAGTTTGGAATACATGTCAGGAAACTAGTCTCAAGGGCAAAGTAATGAAAATTACTCCTTCTTATTACAAATTTGGTTTCTGTTGATCACTCAAAGGGTAGAAGTTTGAAGGAAATTGGGTAGCTTTAGGAGATTATAACAAACTGATTGTGTTGCCTTTGGGGTCAAAGACTTTATGAAATGGGAGAAATGTCAGAGTATGGAGTACTGGGCCATTTTCTTTTCTAGGTTTGATCAGTTGGAACATAGTTGTTTGTTTATGAAATAAGGAACTACTAATCTTTTGTTTTTACTTCCAAACAACTCTAATCTTGTGTAATTTCAGTGATTGCAGCCTACCCACCCCCACCCCTCTCTGATCTCCTAGAGTTACTGCCCTTCAATAAACTCTGTCAGTGTAGCGATAAACTTGACAGCCAAGGGGCTAAGAATAGTCTGACCCCGATCCATGAAATGCTATTGAAAACGAACCAGTTACTTTGAAGGTTTTGACAATCTAGCTTCGATTTTATTTTGTCTTCGTCACTGATATTGTCTCCGTTCAAGACAAAAATCAAATCGCGGTTAGATAGTCGGAACCTTCTGGACTACGATCCAGTATGTCTGCAGTATGTCTGGCCTTTAGTCATTAACATCGGCATGGAATGGGCATGCAGCATAATGCACCCTTCTTGAGACCGAATGGACGCTAATATAATTCGAAATCCGGCAGGGCAGATAATTTTCATTACTCATTTCAACCTGTGACATTTAATGCATGTGCATAATAACACGCATTTACCTCACCGTCCGCGGCCCACTCCTCAAGGGCAGCGTTCATTTTTTTGGTGTATGCAGCATGGTGACCTAAATGATGTACGCGCAATGTCGCTTCGTCGATGAACGGTTCCAAATCTTTGTAACCGTATGGAAGTTTAGGTAGAACATAATTATTTGTGTGATCTGTAATGAACTCATATGGCATTTTCAAAGCCAGGACAGTACTTAACATGCCAAATGAAAGTAGCCATGACCGGAAAATTGTTATGTCTGCCATCTTGTCCAGTCACGTGATTTTCAAGGTTATCCTCTAGAGTTTTCTTAGCAAGATACTAAGTAAGTTCCGATGACACCGTATAAAAAGTAAACAACAACATTAACCAGGAAGAGTGTCCTAGGCTCGGTTATAATTGGAACAAGGACGTTAAGCTCCCAAAAAGAAAGAAAGAATTAACCAGGAAGAAGGGAATCCCAATATTGTGAAACATTTAACGGCCGCTTCTAACCAGGAAGACACAGTTCTAAATTTTCATGATAGAGCAGTGATATTATTCTCAGCAATGGAAAAATCTGTGATTCTGATGGTTCTGACATTGGTTGGGGTTTGTCAATGTTCCCTCAATTTTAAGTCGGTTCTACATAATGTGTTACCACAAGTAAAAAAAATTGTGGAAAAGAATGTAGATTTGAAAAACGTCAAATTGTCAGATCTGCATATTCCTGTCAAGGGTAAGGATCTGGAAGAGCTGAAGCCTGTCATCAGAAGTAAGTCATGCTGTTTTATATGTACAGAACTACAATCGTATTGGCACATATGTTTACACTAAATTTTTATCTTCCCATTAAACATGTTTGTTTGTAATTACTTGTTTTTAACTGTCATCTGGCACAATGCCTGTCATTTGTCTTTTTCCTTTTCAATCAATAGCCAATGCAAGTGTTAATATATCTAGCTATAGGGATATAGGGAAGTATATATGTACATCCCTGTTGACTATGCAGGCTTCGTGATATGAAACCTGACACAGCTTACAAAAAAAAATCACCTTGACCCATACCACAGACTTCAATATATAGCTATACATCCATGTCCATACATGTAGTAATGGTCACAGACTTCTTCTAATGAACCAACAGTCCTAGAATCATAACATTTTACTGGTAGGCGTGATTATTGTTGCCTGACAAATTTTGGAAAAATGAATTTACATTTATTCATAGTTTAGGTTACAGTGGTCAAATTATTTGGCTGGTAGGTTCATGGGAAAAATCTCTTCTAAATTATTAAAAATGATTATTAAACAATTAAAAAATAAGGAGATCTTTAATTATTCAAACCTTATCCATGATCAAGAGATGAATCCTCAAACAACCTCCTCTGATGTTTCACTGATAAGTACCAGGGATGAAGCCAGACAGGTTTGCAAAAAGAAATTACGTTGACTTATAATAAAGGTCTGACACAGTTGTCTAATTTGTTAAATAAAACATGCACTCAAACAAATATGGACCCCATTCCCAATTGGATTAATTTTATGATATGGCCAAATTCACAAAATATATAGTTTACTCCTTAAAATTTCCTCTCCAATGGCTTAGTTTTCTTCCAAAAATAAGATAAAAAGGCCCTTTCTCAAATAAGTGGAAAAAGGTCATGGAAATTCATAAAGATTGGTTGCTGTGATAATATTTCAAATCCTACTAAAAGAAATGACCTATTCATAACTTAGTGTTGTTTGAAGTCTTCTACTACAAGTCCATCAGTTGTAGACAAATGATGTTTACCTGGCAGTGTCAATTTGATTTAGACCAATACTGAAAATGTCAGTGATATACCTACCAACTTTCCTGATTCAGTCTGGAGTTTCCCATTTTCACTTCCCATTCATGCCTCCTGATCGTATGGATCAAAATTGGAGTAATCTCCCACTTTCAGAGATTCCACTAGGTAGGTTATAAGCAGCCTTGCTATGTTTGTCAAATTGGTAAGGCTGACCACCTGGCCACATTATCAAGGTCTAGCTGGGTGAGTACACAGCCTAATTATCTAATTAGTATTACCTAATTCAGGTTAATCTTAATTAGCAAACATAATATCATAGACTTTTTGCATTTTGATATGTTTTGTTACCAATACTTGTACCCCATTTTTTTGTTATTGGTATTTCCTGAAAAAAAATTGATGGATCTATCTTAAATTTCGTACATAGGTTTCCCTTTGTCATTAGTTGTGCCCATTTTATTTTGGGACTGATCAGAAAAACAAAATGGCCGACAGGTGGCCATCTTGGATTTTGACTTTGAAAGTTTGTTTCCTTATTTCTTGAGAAGAACTGAATGGATCTCTCCCAAATTCCATACATAGGTTTCCCTTTGTCACTAGTTGTGCCCATTCTATTTTGGAAGCGAGCAGGAAAACAAAATGGCCAACAAGTGGCCATCTTGTTTTTTTGTTTTTGAAGTTTTTTGTTGCTACTTCTTGAGAAATGCTGCATAGATGTTTCTCTAATTTCCTCTTTATCCATAGTCATGCCTGTTCAAGTTTCGAACTTGTCAGAAAAACAAAATGACCTACAGGCAGCCATCTTGGATTTCGCTTAGTAAAGATTGTTATCCCTATTTCTTAAGAAGTACTGATTTGATCTCTCTCAAATTTCAAACATTATCGTCGATCTCTTCTTGTGCCAATTTGATTTTGGGGCTGATCAGAAAAGACAAAATGGCTTCCAGGCAGCCATCTTGGATTTGGCAGGTATAGATTATCATCGCTATTTTTGTTTTAAGAAATGTTAGAAATTCTTATCTTTGAGAGAAAAAACAGAGAAGTGAAGGAAAAAGATCCAACTTTCAAAGAGCAAATAAAGATCAAACAATGGTGGGAGCCAAGATCCTTCTGGGATCTCTTATGGTTTTTGAATATTTTCTGTTATCTAATTTTTCAAAAAAGAGAAACAGATAAAAAGCAAAGGGGTCATTACCAATGTTTATGTCAGTGTATTGTATTCCAATTAGATACATTGTATTCCTCTTAGATACATTATATTCCCCTTAGACACATTGTATTTCCCATAGATACATTATATTCCCCACAGATACTTTGTGTTTCCCTTAGATACATTGTATTTCCATTAGACACATTGTATTTCCCATAGATACATTGTATTCCCCTTAGATACATTGTATTCCCCTTAGACACATTGTATTCCACTTAGATACATTGTATTCACCTTAGATACATTGTATTCCCCTTAGACACATTGTATTCCACTTAGATACATTGTATTTCCCTTAGACACATTGTATTCCCCATAGATACATTGTATTCCCCTTAGATACATTGTATTTCCCTTAGACACATTGTATTCCACTTAGACACATTGTATTCCCCTTAGATACGTTGTATTCCCCTAAGACACATTGTATTCCCCTTAGACACATTGTATTCCCCTTAGACACATTGTATTCCCTTTAGATACATTGTATTCCCATTAGACACATTGTATTTCCCTTAGATACATTGTATTCGACTTAGACACATTGTATTCCCCTTAGATACATTGTATTCCCCTTAGACACATTGTATTCCCCTTAGACACATTGTATTCCCCTTAGACACATTGTATTCCCTTTAGATACATTGTATTCCCATTAGACACATTGTATTTCCCTTAGATACATTGTATTCGACTTAGACACATTGTATTCCCCTTAGATACATTGTATTCCCCTTAGACACATTGTATTCCCCTTAGACACATTGTATTCTACTTAGATACATTGTATTCCCCATAGATACATTGTATTCCCCTTAGATACATTGTATTCCCCTTAGATACATTGTATTCCCTTAGACACATTATATTCCCCTTAGATACATTATATTCCCCTTAGATACATTGTATTCCTTTAGATGCATTATATTCCCCAGAGATACATTGTATTCCACTTAGATACATTATATTCCCCTTAGATACATCGTATTCCCCATAGACACATTGTATTTCCCTAAGACACATTGTATTCCACTTAGACACATTGTATTCCACTTAGATACATTGTATTCCCCATAGATACATTGTATTCCCCTAAGACACATTGTATTCCACTTAGACACATTGTATTCCACTTAGATACATTGTATTTCCCTTAGACACATTGTATTTCCCATAGATACATTGTATTCCCCTTAGATACATTGTATTCCCCTTAGATATATGTATTCCCTATAGATACATTGTATTCCCCTTAGATACATTGTATTCCCCCTTAGATACATTTAAACCCCCCATAGATAAACTGTATTCCATAGATATACTGTATTCCCCTTAGATACATTGTATTTCCCTTAGATACATTGTATTCCCCTTAGATACATTGTATTCCCCTTAGAAACATTGTATTTCCCTTAGATACATTGTATTTCCCTTAGATACATTTAACCCCCCATAGATACACTGTATTCCCCTTAGATACATTGTATTTCCCTTAGATACATTGTATTCCCCTTAGATACATGCAAAATTCCATGTTTAATGAATCCAATAAACAACAGCTTAGGGAGAATTTTTCAAGTTTTAGAGGAGAACCTTACTAAAACAATGACCCGGTAATGTTATTTTTGCAGTTTGAATATTGCCCTAATGATTTGTTACTGCATCTTTCATTATTGTATTTTTGCAATTTATTGTAACAATAAACCTGATGTTATATTAAAAAATCCATACATTTAGCTGAGGGAAATGTTTTAAACAAATCAAATTCACAGACTTCTAATTAGTCCCCTATCAATGAAATCAGGGAGACTTAAAATTTTCCTCCCCATCCTTCAGTCCCTGTATATGTGACAACTTTTGTCAGCACCATTACTACTTCATATGAGGGATTTCATCAAACTTCACTCACTGATAATTAGGCACCCCTACCTTTATACGTTTAATCAGGGAATCAAACACTGGACATTTAGGTGAATGGCGAGTTTGTCACCAATGTGCCACCCAGTAACATTATATTAAAAACATTAAAGAAATATTGACAGAAATCTAATTAAGACAGATATTATCCATGATGTACATACAACTGTATTTAGCTAGCAATATGCCCACCCAAATTTCTTTTCTGTCAAGGAATAATACAAACAAATTATATTTCTTGCTTTTCAAAGGCTTTTTGCATGAAAAAAATTATATATATATATCTTAAGAAGACTGTAAGTACCAATCACAACAGGCTGCGGAGTGGTTGTTACTAGGATTGATTTCTACCGGTTTCGCCCTCCCGGGCTTCTTCAGATCCTGACTGGTACTTACAGTCTGATTTTCCCTTTTGCCCAATCACCCTGCATACCTATGGATATCCAGCTCGGGATCGGAGGAACCTACAAACCACCCAACTAGAACACACGGTGTTGGCTCTATTACCTATACTCATATATGTTAAGCAGTAATCAAATTTACGTTATTGTATGACAGCCTGAATTACTATCAAGGAACTTAAAAGTATTCACATACATCCCTTCGTCAGTGCTTTAGCTGATTATTTCCTTTAGCAATCTTGATCTGTAACCCTGGTAAAATACTAGTCACAATATACCACTTGGCTAGAGAGAACTTCTCTTTAGCTCAATTGGTTGAGCGTCAGACTAGTACACCAGGGATCCCGGGTTCGATTCCTAGCGGAGGCATTAAGATGAAAAATGACCTCTGTTACATTGGCACCCATGTAGGGACCCGGGAATAGTACTTAGCCATGCCCCACCAGCATCGCTGTAACCCCTGGAAACTCGAGGACGAGTTATTTCCTGGAGGGGGAGTATGTAACCCTGGTAAAATACTAGCTGCAATATACCACTTGGCTAGAGAGAACTTCTCTTTAGCTCGATTGGTTGAGCGTCAGACTAGTACACCAGGGGTCCCGGATTCGATTCCTAGTGGAGGCATTAAGATGAAAAATGACCTCTGTTACAGATTAAACTTCATTATAAAAGGCCATTTAAGGTTAAGCTTTCAAGGTTCAAGGTTGTTCAGTAAAGGCCAAGGCAGTTGTATCTGTTATGAGGAAATCCTTGCCACTGTGTGTCAAGCAGCTTAATTCCTTAAGGAATCTATTTCAGCATTTTCACACCAGTATTTAAGATGATTTTATTATCTTGGGTTTCAAAGTCAAAAGTCAAACTCTTGATTTTAGGATTAAATTTAACTCTAGTACTTTCAGAAAATGTTTGTCAACATTCTGGTGTGTTCATTTCTAGTGGGATCTTGATGAACTTTCAAATTTGCAAATTTTTGGAGGACTGTAATAATTTGATTTAGTTTTAGTTTCACAGTTTTTGGTCAAGGTTAAAGCAGCTATCACTTATATTCGTCTCGCATATGTTTTGTCAGCCATTAGTCATCTCTGTGCTAGCTGTGCAAAATCACATTTTAAAGCTTCAAGTGGTGTATGGAATTCAGCTCAAACTTGTCTAAAAGGATCATGAGACACTCTGGACATGTGTTGCTAATTTTCTGGGTTAGTCTCAAATTCAGTATGGCCATCATGGCCTTTTCTTGCAAAATATATTTTGACCATTTTCTCCATTTCATTAAGCTGAAATTAAGTGGTTGTTACCTTTACTGCTGAAAGACTCTAAATTGTTTTAGCCGTTTGATAATTGTTCACACCATCTTTGATTGAGCATCATTTGGCCTGAAACCTAATTAGAAGAGGGCAAACATACCGCCATGTAATTCAAATAAATGAAGTTGATTCAATCTCTGGGGACATTGGGGAAAGGCTGCAAACGAGGAAATTCTTAAATTATGTTTAAAATGAAACTCTCCCTTAATGCCTTAGCATATTTCAACCAAGTTTACACTGAAACATCATTGAGAGAGTGGAACCAAAATTAAAATGTAGAGGATTTGAGCCTTTGGAAGGTGGAGAGCCAAAAGAGGAATTCAGCTAAAGGTGTGCTTTTAAACATAATTCCTCCTTAACACCTGCATGGGTATCAACCCATGGTCAAAAACACTCAGGAGGACAAGTTGATATTTATAGATATAACGTTAGTTGGTTAGGTCCTCATGGATGGGGCCCAAAAGGGGAAATTCTTGCTTTGAAATTCTATTACTTTTTCACGCGTGAATGGATTTCAACCGAATTGGATCTTAAACATCACTAGGGTAGGGCAAACACAATCTATGTAACTAAAGCTTGTAAATTGGAGAATTTAGCTTTAAAATTCTTCTCTCATATGTCTGGACAAATTATAACCAAATTTGTCCTGAATCATCATTTGGGATAGCAATCATTTAACAATGGTTGTTGGATTGTTCACATTTATTATGTTTTTCCATTTGATATTTTATGAAGAGTACCTACATGTATATATTGGTCAGATGACAGTTAAGGCCCAGTGGGTCTCTTGTGTTGTTTGTGCTGACTTGTTCTCATCAATTTCCTTTGATTTTACATGCACTACGAAAAGAAATCCAGAAGGGTTTGCCAGCAGATCTCCAACATCTTGACTCCAATCTTCAAGATAGTGTCTCTGATCTCCAGGGTAGTACAAAAGAAATAAGAAAGCAGTTACAGACAGTTCTCAAAGGTAAAATTGATTACTTCCTGTCCTAGCAGATAAAATATGTAACAGCTCTTCATCACAGTAAATAAGTAATAACACTTCCTCAAAGGTAAAATATGTAACAGCCCTTCATCACAGTCAATAAGTAATAACACTTCCTCAAAGGTTAAATATGTAACAGCCCTTCATCACAGTAAATAAGTAATAACACTTCCTCAAAGGTAAAGTCAGTTACAGCCCTTCATCACAGTCAATAAGTAATAACACTTCCTCAAAGGTAAAGTCAGTTACAGCCCTTCATCACAGTAAATAAGTAATAACACTTCCTCAAAGGTTAAATATGTAACAGCCCTTCATCACAGTAAATAAGTAATAACACTTCCTCAAAGGTTAAATATGTAACAGCCCTTCATCACAGTAAATAAGTAATAACACTTCCTCAAAGGTAAAGTCAGTTACAGCTCTTCATCACAGTAAATAAGTAATAACACTTCCTCAAAGGTAAAATATGTAACAGCCCTTCATCACAGTAAATAAGTAATAACACTTCCTCAAAGGGTAAAGTAATAACACTTCCTCCTTAACATCACAGTAAATCAGTAATAACACAGTAACCCTTCATCACAGTAAATAAGTAATAACACTTCCTCAAAGGTAAAATATGTAACAGCCCTTCATCACAGTAAATAAGTAATAACACTTCCTCAAAGGTAAAGTCAGTTACAGCCCTTCATCACAGTCAATAAGTAATAACACTTCCTCAAAGGTAAAGTCAGTTACAGCCCTTCATCACAGTAAATAAGTAATAACACTTCCTCAAAGGTTAAATATGTAACAGCCCTTCATCACAGTAAATAAGTAATAACACTTCCTCAAAGGTAAAATATGTAACAGCCCTTCATCACAGTAAATAAGTAATAACACTTCCTCAAAGGTAAATATGTAACAGCCCTTCATCACAGTCAATAAGTAATAACACTTCCTCTACCATAAAATGTGAAGTAAGTTACAACCTGACTTGAAATGTAAAATAATTTACAGCCTGTTGCAGACCTAGGATGAAAACAAAGGAAAGGAAAAAGATTCCTAATTTCTCTATGTGCTTCATTTCTAAATAATATTTATCTATATTTTTTTTTTCTGAGGAAAAAGTTCATTATAATATTTGCAGGTCTGGAGGGAGAAGTGTTGAAGAATCTGAAATTGAAGGGACTGGGAGGATGTGTTTGTTCCAGTCATGCATGTTCCTGTTGTGAACATCTGAAAATAGATGAATTCAAGCTTGATAGCACAGGTAAATATAATAAACAACAGGTCTCTGTTTGATTCTCTCAGAAATTTCCTTCAAACATACGAATGGGATGTTTTTATATACTTATCAAAAATTAATGGTGCCCATCCACTTGTTATAAACTTTTATTTGTCTGGAGATCTCCACCCCGTTTTCTACTGATTTCTTTCAAACTTGCTAGACTTGATAACCATGACTTGAAGTTGTGTTTTCCTGAATGTCAGTCAGATTTGAATGTATTTGGAAAAGTGACTGCCCCTTCTTGTGTTCATCTTGTCCAGTGATCTCCTCTTTCAGTTTTCAAACAATTTTTTTTCATACTTGGAATGCTTTATCACGATGACATTGAATTGTGTTTTCCTATACTACAGTTTGATTTAGCAATTTTGAAGGAGTTATTGTTCATTGTTATTTATTGGAGATCTAATTCCTCAGTTTACCATTAATGACATTGTGATTTTACAATTTTAAAAAGAGTTATTGCCCTTTTGGATTTGTTGTAACATTTTTATCAGGTCAAAATATCACCTCCTTCATTTTGTCGAAGATTTTTTTTTTCAATTTTCCATTTACCTGTTTAAAACAAAACATGCTTTAATTCATAAATTAAACATATAGCACTGTTTTCCTGCTAAATATTTTGACTCATAACCATTTTCATGTGTTTCTTTGGTATAGGACAGGTGTGTATTGTTCTGCTCCATGGTTACTTGCTGACTTTGTTTCCACAGTGTTTTTCTTTTCAATTTTTTATTATTTTTATTTTTATATTTCTACAGTTTAGAATAAATTGTGTATGTTTAAAAAGAATATGTAATTACAAGTAATATATGGACTTTTTTTTTTGTTAATATCAGATATAAAGATTTCAGAAATGTGGACATTTTTGTTTTTATCCATCACATGAAGCTTTTAAGGCCATAAAAAAGCTAGGCTATGCCAGGAAGTCAAAGTTCAACATCAGCTATTTTTGTTTCTATAATGACAAAAACAGACATTGTAGTATAACAGAAAACAAATAAAGCATTTGAACAAACAAAAAAGGAAATATTTACTGTTGCTATCAATGTTTATATCTCTTTTTAAATTGTAGTTTGTGTGGGTGTTGCCTATCTTCCAAAAGACATTGGTGTTGATTTCACTCTGACAGTCGATGGAAAGACATTTATCAACGAGACAATCTCAGGTTTGTTGCAGTAAGGCCTCATTTAGGGAGCTGAATTTAAGATTTTATTAGGTCATTTGACTGGAAGGTTCAAGATGACAGCCATCGTGCTTTGTGTACCGTTGTGCTCCGTGCGTCTTGTTGTAAACCTTTTTCATTTAACCCCAACTCCTCTTTCATACCTGGATAGATTTCAACCCAATTTTGTCTGACGTAGCATTGGATGAGGGTAATCATTTCTTACATTCAGAATTTTTATTTGACCCCTAGGGGTCAAGGAACAGGGCCCCAAATGGGGAGGTACTGAAATAAGACCCTACTTCTCCTTTCTTTCTTGATGGATTGCAACAAGCTTTGGCCTGATTCATCAGTTAGGGTAGGCAATTATTTCTGAATTTCAGGAATTTCATTGAACCCCTAGGGACTTTTGGGCGAGGTCCGGAAAGGGAAAATAAGAAAATAAGACAGCATTTTGCTTCAAAATTTTACTCCTTTTTAGTGCTTGAATGGATTTCAACCAAATTAGGTCAGAAACATCAATGAGAGTGGGAAATCATTTCTTAACTTCTGTTTATTTATTCAAACCAGAGACTTTGGGGCAGGGTCCCAAAAGAAAAAATTAGACAATATTTTATATATGATGTTATGAATATATGGCACATATAACATGTTATACATAATCAGGAATAAGTTGTTAGCTATATCTTTAATGTATAAGCTAGTTATATTATTAATAAAGACAAAAGTACATATATCCTAGGATTTTCCAAAAAAGCGTTCAAATGTAAATGGATTTACAAATGTATTTCCCTCAATAATATACATAACAACTATTATGATTCTCTTGCGTTTTGTTTTGAAAGGGAGGTTTCACTTGGGTTTTGAACTTAAGCTTATGTGATATACTTTCAATATAATCTGGAAGAGAATTCCATTCTTTTGCGCCTGTAAAGTAGAATGTTGTAGATTCTTTACCTTGCACTGATAGGAGACTGAAAATATATGCTGAGGATCGAGTATTTTGTAGACATAGATTCTTGTTAAACTAACTAACTAATGTCTAATATGTTTATACGCAAAAAATCATGGCATCTTATACTGTGCCTATTTTGAACATTGAAAATAAATCTTACTACTTTGTTTTGTGCTACCTGTAATTTATGTTTTAGTTTTTTTGACAACCCTTCATACCAACCAGCACACGCATAGTCGAAATGACATAGAATCAATGCCGAGCAAAAAGTTTTTCTCGACCTATACGATAGACATTGCTCATTTCTGTAGAGAAATTTAAGTCACTGATTTACTTTTTTAACAATTGAATCTACTATTTCTTCACTTGATAGCAAATCGTTAACGTCCATACCAAAATATTTTATACACTTCTTAACTTCATTGTCATGATTATTGCACAATATTTCAAAATTCATATTTGATCCAATTTTCTTTTAGGGCCAAAAATAATACTTTCTTTTTACTTAAATGTAGAGAAATCTTGTTATCCACTAACCATTCTTGACAGGACTCTTAACACCGAAGACATTTTTTGCGATATTACTGCTGGGTTTAGATGGGAAAAAGTATATAGCAGAATTTTCTGCATACAACATCAACATGCAGTTAGAATCAATGCTGACTTGCATATCATTGACATAGAACAGAAGAGGAGACATTATTGATAGTGGACAATCATTCCCCCTAGGGACCTGGGGGTGGGCGGGGCCAAAATTGAGTCAATATCAATTAATATGTTAAAATGTTTTAATGACTACTTCTCAATAACCAAAAGACCCCGGGTACTGATATTGGACACAACTTTCAAGGTCGCAGGGGTCAAATGTGTTGAAATGTTTACGCAACTTCTTCTCCATAACCAAAAGCCCAAGGGCCTTGATATTGGGCCTGTAGCTTGCTTTTTTCAACAAGCAGTACATCCAGAGTAATGGCAATTGTGTAGTGTATGTATAAAGAATATGATTTCAAGTTTGCAGAAAATGTCTTTATAAACCAACCAATGTTTGCTATGTAAACTGTAGTGTAGTTTAGCAATTTATTTTAGGCCTATTGTGCCTCTTTCATATATAAGTCTTTATAGTCAGATGACAGTTAAGGCCTGTGGGCCTCTTGTTTTATCTGAATGCTGTTGAGGAGTTTGACAAACCTTTTCTGTCAACTCAGAAGAATCAATGTTGATTCATAGAACTGAGAAAAAATATCAAGATAAGTGTCATCAGAGGTATATGGTCTAAACATTCCTGTTTTTTTTACTTTCAGCGGCAAACCCACCTCCAGTCTGTGTTGGTATTCCTACTCTAGCGAAATATGCCAGTGTTTGCATTAGGTTCACTGACCTCCATGTTGACAGAGACAACAAAAAGTTCTCTGGCTGTTTATCATTTGAAGCAAAACTGGAGTCTGTCAAAGTAGTTGATGAAGAAATTGGATGTTTCAACATGCCAATACCAGCAGCTGACTACAGCACCCAGTTGGAGGGCAACACCACCAAGAATAGCACTCAGGTTAGCAAAGAAGATAAACTGAAGATGTTGTCTCGTCTTGGTCTGATGGGGAAAACCTACAGCAAAGGACGTCTTATCAACAACAACTTGCTTCATAATTGAACTGTACAAAATTTTATGGTACGAGTTAAAGACTTGGTGTAAAATCAGATATTTTCATCGGGCTCAGTTTTCACGGTAAAATGTACATGTAACTATTTTGTGGACTCTAAAATCAGATATTTTCCTGGGGTTCAATTTTCGTAATTTAAAAAATCACTATCTCATAGACGCTTGCTTTCATCATAGATGTAGCTCAATAAATTTACTTTAAAAAGTTCGTGGACGTATGAAAATATTGATTAAGAGTACCCACAAAATCGACAAAAATAAACCCCCATGAAAATTTATGATTTTATGGTAAATCATCAACTTACAGTGCCCATCTTTAACTTACCGGTAAGCCCATGTACTTAAAAAGGGATTTCAATAAAATCACTCTGGCAGCCATCTTAAAAATGTTTTGGAAACATACACTACAGATCTGTTGAAATGATCAGGATAAGTGTGAAGTTTCTACATGGTCATCTGTTACCAGTCAGTGATATAATTGGCATGTTGTCTAATACAGATGACTGTGTAGTCTTCTGTATCAGACAAATAGCTAATGTTAAGAGTACTAGCACTTATGTACAAATACTAAAGAACAAAGTCCTGGCTATGTTTGAAGACTATAAAACACACTTTAAGTAAAGATGAAAGTTCTATAAAATTTTAGGTCTCTGGGGAAAAAAGACACACATACCAAGACCTCCGCTTCCTACTGCACCACCCCTTACACCAGAATTTGGGTCTTGCCAACTTACTGACAGATATGAAACAATTGTCACAGAAGAACAGGACAAGAAGCTAAAACAAAATCACTTCGTAGCACCATGAAAACATGTGGATACCCTGATTGGGCAATCCAGAGATTTAGGAAAGCAGAGAAACTAAGAGACAAGAATACTAACGAAAAGAACAGAAATGACCAGACCTAAGTGAAAACATTCTCAATCCCAGATTAATAAATAGGTTAGAGATCGTTTTACACAGCAGATCACAATAGGGATGGGGGAGGTGCTGAAATAAGATAACCACAAAAATATATCAGGTGTATATATTTAGAACATTTGGATTATTTCTATAGTAGCAGGATCTTAAAAATCTATTTTGAATTTTAACTCCATCAGGACTAAGTGTTAGTATTTTTCTTGTCACTTTGATATTTGAGATGGTTGTACCGTATTAGCCATTACTTGTACTGAATCCATGATTCCCATTATGAATAATAGTACAAAACCGTACAAATTGGTGAAATGTAAGACTTGTACTCCTGGATTTCAAGCACTTTCTATATAAATACATTGCTAGAATCACACTGTACCCAAAGTTATGATGTAGAATGTGACTAAAACATCCACTTAATTTGTATTTCCTCACATTCAGACTGTAAACTGTTTCCTTGACAACTAAAATCCACCTCCAGTAGTATTTCTGTATCGCTGTAACAGATTCCTGATAGATTTGTTTCCCCACTGTAACTTCTGAGGTCCTTTGGCCTCGTTTTCTATGTTTTCATCACACTGAGGAAAATCAATATGACCTTTGATATTAACAGTTGTATATATGTGTTACTAATATTTAAGCTTTGATCTGACTTATGTGTTAACTTCGTGACTATGAAATATGAACTTGTACATATTGAATATGTAATCTATCATTGGTTGACATTTAACATTTGGTATCTTCGATGACCTGTATTTTGACCTTTGTTATAATGCTTAATCTTTTCTTAGAGGTCCTTGTGGTCTAGTGGTAGTGGTAGTCACTAATGTGACTTCTGGCATGAATAATACATTCTATTTTTAGGTTGCCTATTCTGAAAATAAGATGAATAGTGTTGTCATCATGACATCAGCAGCACCCTACCTTATAAGATTTTGAAAAAAGAGTCTTGTGTTTAAAGTTTTAAAGCAAGTTTTTATTAATAGGCACTGGAATAAGGATATTTTGCTAATCATCGAATATATCTTAAACAAAGGTGGGGTCAACATCCGCCCCACATATGATAATCATGAACAGATATGGGTATCAGGAGCTTAAATACAAAAAAGTTAGTCTCAGAATTGATTTCTTATAAAATGGGAGCTCCTTGACTAACACCTTGTTGGGTGTTAAATTAGTTGTCGTGTAATTCCTTCTAGTGCATTATTATGAGGCAATTCCGATAAAATTACATCATTAAGGTGTGCACATTGTACCAACCAACATTTTGATACCACATATCACACTATTTCAGGAGAAATGTTATTTTATTTTGAAAAATGCAGCCAAAAATCATATAAAAAGCCATTACTTTTTAGAAAAAGTACTGTTTTGATCACTTCAATTTCCATACTTCCAAAACCAGTCAATTTTTCATACTTGCTTAAAAATTGGCCACAGATGATATCTTTCAAAAGGAGAATTCTTTGAAAAAATGAAAACTGGTTATGAGTTTTAGCTCTCCACCGAGTACTATTTGAAGGGCCTGTCAGTGTTTAGTCCCAGTTCATCACTTTTTTGGGATATATCTTATCAACAGACAACTGTCCAAATTTGTATGCAGGTTCCTCCACGGATGACTAATCCATGCATTCTGAAATTAAGTCTTGATATTGTGACTTGAGTTATGGCCCTTTGTTCACTATCTGTACCTTTGGCCTGGACAAGTCTCTATATCCTATTTATATTTTGTATAGGAGAACTGTTAGGGATGGCAGGGTGTCCTCAACAAAGTGAAAGCCCAGTATCTATCTAAATATCCCACATTATGTCTCTAGGGTTTTTATTTATTATCAAAGTTTTGCTTCAGTTTTCAGTCTTTTTTTATTTTACCTTATTATCTGAACATGTGATATGAAAAAAAAACTGGTATTTTTGTGTGCTTTATTTATGTAATATTTTATGAAGTTTGGGGTTGTAGATGTTAATGGGACCAGAAAAACTTTTGAATTGTAAAATTTAAATACTTAAAAATACATTGAAGTATCTGTTATCTGTATAGTTCTGAATATTGTTGTTTTAGTTCAATATTGATCCAAATTAATGCTGTTCTATCACGGGTATTTGGTTCTAATTTTATTACATTGTGTTGTCTCTATTCAGTTATTGTCTTATAGTCTAAATTCTGTCATCAGTATATCTCCAAGTCTATTTTGTTCACTCTGGTGTCAGTATCAATTGTCACTAATCAGTTATTGTGTGAGGTGAAGCTGGATGCTCATTGGTCCAAGGATTTCACTATTGACCAACCAGAAGCAGAGCTTTGTACCTAAAGGGTTGTTGAATATATACTGTATCATACTGTAAATTACTTAGATTTCCAAAAAACTTTTGTCTTCAGACATATTCACAAATACACAATTCCATTAAGGGTGAGCTAGAAATTAATTTAATAATTGATAAGCTATTGGAGACCTAGACTTTTCAAGACTTTGATATTAGTAACAAAATCAACATGGATGCCACCTAGAGTTACGTTCGTAAAATTTGAATTTATGATTTAATCTCCTCAGGTATTAAAACGAAAACAAGTCGCATGTGAAATTTAAATGATTTATAATACATGAATAAAATCAAGAAGAAATATGTGAAAAATTTTCAGAAATGATCCAGAATTTAAATCTTTTCCCATGTCACCTTTAGAATGATGTTGAAAATGAGTGCACAAGAGAACGCTTCCACAAAGGAAAGATCTAGGATGTGACAGCTATCACTTGGTCACAACAAAATATGTCAAACAATGAACGTAATGTTAAATCATTCACCTGAATCTGACTAGTGATAGCTCAGTCAGTTAGAACATTGACCTATGGAATCTCACATGAAGATGCAATGTGTATGATTTAACAGTTCCTACCCTTGGTACTTTGTGAAGCTGTCTGTGTTGACATGGTTGTGTCCATCGACAAGACACTTTACCAGGTTGTCAATGACTACTACAAAGAGACCCCACCTCAAAATAATATATATAGATATATATAATATATAAATATAATATAAACTTTATTTATTTTACAACAATTGCGAAACAAGTTATGTCAACTTATACTAATTACTCTTGTCGGCCCGTGACCCCTTACCTTTTCACGTCCATTCCAGGAATCAAACCCCGGTCGGCTAGGTGAAAGGCGAGTGTGTTACCACTGCCCTACCCAAACACCTCAAAATAACCCTGGCTGTTCCCAGGGTGATAAACCCAGGGAACACATTTTCTGAATAGTGACAACTCTTGTGTAATGGTCACGCTTGCAGTGTATATAATTTGCCAGGATATGGGTACATTTTGATAAAAGTTGTTGATTTGTTGAGTTCTCTATACCTTTAAATTTGAGCGTGTTTCAGTTTGTTGTAAAATACATTCATTTGCTTGTTTTGCATTTAATTATGAATTTTGTATCAATTTTGTTGTTTATCAGGTTTTATTGACAAGGGAAAATTATCTTTCTTGATCTATCATATGATTACATTTCAAACTTAAAGCAAAAAATACACACAATAAATTGCAAAAATGATAATTTGAAATATGATTTTTTAATGAATTAAATTACTTACTACAAACCTGACAAACTGTATATATATATAATATGATCGACTCTATGTATATTTTTGCTTCTTTTACAATATTTTCTTTCATTGTGTTTTTCAAGGTGAAATTATCATTTTCAGAAAATATGAGATTAAATTGAAACATGCTGTTTAAAAACAAAAGAGAATGTTGTTAAGGAAAAAAAGCAACATTTATTGCTTCCACAGATATTTTCAGATTTCAGAATTTATATTTTAATAAATAATTTTTTTCAAAAATTGTTTTTTGCTTTCATTTATCCTTTATAGAGAGTGTTGTAAATGTTGTCCGTGTTTGTTGTGGAGTTGGTAAAGATAGAAGGACATTGTAAATGATGTCCACGAGTCTGCCATGTCCTTATGTCCAATTTCTTGTAGGTATATATGATGGTCAGGGACAAAAAAATTCTTTTAAGGTAGATACATCATCTACTTATCTAAATGTAATTGAAGGACTTGACCTGATTAGAAATAAACCTGTTCAATAAATTCATTCTGGTGTAAGATTAAAACGAGACACCAAAAAGAGGAGGAGGGGACGGTATGTTCCCAACAGTGTCACTCCACTGTAAACCTATTTCGACGTATATGTACTTTTCACGAAATATCTTCCAGTAGATTTTACAACCATGTACTTGTGCCGCTGTTTACAATTCTCTCCGCTGCCTGGTAATTCCTCACATTTGATGAAAACGAGCTCCAAATTGTCCCTTGGTGCAGTGTTAAAACTTCATTCTAAGAAACAAAAAACAAAGTTGAATAAGATGCTATACGCTGCCGGACTAAAGTTGAAGATATTCACGAAACAGAAGCTGAATATAATTGCACTTTTCAATAAAAGGGGCAGAAACTCTTTCTGACCATGAACAAAACAATGTAAACAGACTACTGAATTGCCCATCACCAGACCATCATTGATGCCCCAGGAGTTACGCTCAATATCACTCCATCCACCCCTGGAACATGTACATTTCTTGACAAAATGAAAGGGACAAGCGAAGTAATTTGATTGGTCTAGAGTGGGTTTCAGGAGAGAAAAAAAACTGACAAATCACAGGCGGATACGCTAATTTGAAGATTAAAGGAGCGCCACTCAAAGAACGTGCTACATGCTGTTATGCTACTTCGAGATTCGTTTGATGTACATCTTAGGATCAAACAAGTCTTCTCGTGTTATCCTTAAGGTGTCGTACAAAGAACCTTTCTATGCCAGTTATTATCACAAACTTGCAATCAAATTTATATGAGCTGGATCTTCTTCCCATTAACCAAGTAAAGTTATTACGAAAAATACTGGGATCTCTGCACCAACTGATCAATATCACCAACAGCGTTTGAATGAGGTGACTTTAAAATGTTTTATCTGAAGATGACTGGCGTTAAAAAATGGGTTGAGCGCTACCACTTAGTATCAAATCTGCCATTTCTAAGTAAGATACTAGACAATGAATATTTTTCAAGTTGGTCATCTCCATATATAATTATTGTCCATTACGGGAATGTCAAGTCCGCCAAGTCTTTGTTACATGCTCCTGTGGTAAGATTCAGGATGTGCGATTTACTAGCCGAGGTTGTGACGTATACAAAACTAAAAAAAACCTCATAGAAAACACCAACATGTCAACATAATCATAATTCAAATTCCATAAAATGGGACAAAATATGAACAAAAGAAAAATTTACACGGAGCCTCCGGAAAAAGTTCAAGAGCAATAAGACCGGGTGTTCCAGAAGAGTAAGCGTATTTTGATTCATCGAAGACACCGACACTCGTCATGTAAATCTTGGTCAATCCAAGTAAGTAATTTCACGTTCTCGAATGAGAACAAGTTATACAACAGTGGAACCAACAGGCAAACTAACGAACAACAAACACGTCGAACTCCATATCACACGAAGAAATATAATATTTCTCAATGAGATCATCGTGGCGACCATAAAACTTAACCATAATTTTCACCAACCTGCATCTTTTGACAATAATGATTGACGATAACTGTGCACGAAGACATGAGTACAAGACTTGTCTTACTTGGTTAAGTCCAAACAGTAATATTCTTTTGTCATGACGGGTACATGTAATCAATGACGGGTTCTGTTGTAAAAGAGTATATTATAATTCCTTCTTATACAAGACTTGATAGAAGAAATTGTAAAAGAATAAAGCACAAAAAAATTCCTGATCAAAATTGTAATTTGTACTGACTGTTCAGTTATAGATTTACTACTATTATATAAGGAATAACTCAGGAAAAGTTCATATTAACAATGAATTATGACGTGACATATATACATTGTATGTGATGAAGATTATAGGAGCGTTACAATTATTGAACAGTTTTCTATCATCATATGCTTCTACGTAATATTCATAACAATACCTGTCATTTCGGGTTTATGATAATGTCGTTTTGTTATTCAGAAAATCTGTTTCTTCCAGTGATAACAAACTAGTACTAGTAACCTAGCAACACATTTTAAACGTCTGCCACCCATTGCTTTTGTATTGTTCCGTCGACCGCTAGAAGTCACGCAGACAGAAAAATCGTTTCAACCGTAATCAGTATTGATGACTCTGATAGATGTTTCAGACAAAATATTTCTAGATTAGAAATAATTCTCACGATGTCCGCGCCTGTCCGTCCGATTTTCCTATCCAGACCCTGCAGCCTGACGAGCTTGCTGTCGAACTGTGTTGATTGAACACTGCTTCGTGTGGATTTGACTTTCTTGAGATAGTTTGTTGTGTTTGATGTTATTTACTATGCCTGGAGGTTCCGATGTTCTAATTTTCAATTTGTTGTTTTCTAGCAGTATTTTTTGAGTTGTCAGACTGGCAGAACTACCAACTCAGAACAACTTTATGCAACTATGTCGTTAATTGTTTTAAAGGTTTTTTTATCAGTAATTATTACATCTCTATATGTTCAGCTTCAATCAATTTGTGCACAAATATCAAAGTTCGGTATCGATTTAAATTATTTAAGTAATACGTGTTCTTTACCGTGTTATACTGACAATCTCCATGGTAATTTAATGATATATTGGTCTTTTTGTTCAAAATCAAACATTTACACCATTGTGGTAATATAACAATTGCCACCAAGTTCGATCTTCTGGCTTTATAACGTTCTCATTCCAAGTTCACGTTCCAAGTTCTCGTTCCAAATTCTCGTGAATGTGATATTCCAGGTTTTCCATAATCCGAACCCGTTGCTATAATATAGTATATCTTTCCTCTTCTTTCATTTGTTAAACCTCAGATCATAATTATACACGATAAAAGAGGATGTCGACACAGTATTTATATAACACGGTGCAGTTAACATGATATACAAAAGACAGTTTCGATTTTACTACAGTTGTAACATTTTAGGGGTTTGCCCAGAACTTCAGAATATGAGCTATACGTTTACACGGCTTCACACGTACATTGTTATGTGCAGTTGTTATCGAGCTAACAAAGCTTATACATAGTTAGAATAGTATAGTAGACACTATCATTATATAAGCATCTCGTATTAGACAATGGTCACACACTAATAACTAGTGATATTTGTCACCAATCTAAATTACATAATTCACATTTCCTATCATACCAGTTTCAAAATTTCGGTTTCAAGACTTTAATCCAAGCTATCATTCTGATTTAAAGGTAAGCTCTGCTATTGAAAAAAATGCCAAAATATCAAATACATACATACATACGCACGCACGCACGCACGCACGCACACTCACACACGCACACACGTACGCACACACACACACACACACACACACACCCTTTTTCACCCACAGACATACGTGTCTTCTGGGCACAGATGACCAAACCTCCGTATTTAAATTCCTCTGATCACCTTAAACCGAAATTGTGACGTCTCACAGGAGGTGTTGTTGGAGATCAACATCGGTATGAAATTGAAGTATATATCTGGCCCAAGGTACATCAAGTGTGCCCTCAGTTGATTGCAGAGACAGGATGTTTTATAAATAACAACCCGATACACCACAGCGGGGCCTGTGGTATTATACACACCTCGACCAGACGACTCATTTTGAAACCTTACAATGAGTTGTTAGGTTTGATGATCATCATCATGGTGGTGATGGTGGTGGTGATTGTGGTGGTAGTGGTGGTAATGGTGGTGATGATGATGAATGTGGTGGTGGTGGTGCTTGTGGTGATAGTGTATGTGTTGTCGTTGTTGTTGGTGGTGGTGGTGATTGTGGTGGTAGTGGTGGTAATGGTGGTGATGATGATGAATGTGGTGGTGGTGGTGGTGCTTGTTCTGATAGTGGTGGTAGTGGTGGTGTGTGTGTTGTCGTTGTTGGTGGTGGTGTTTGTGTTGTTATTGGTGGTAGTGATTGTGGTGGTAGTGGTAGTGGTGGGGGTGGTGGTGTTGGTGGTAATTGTGTTAGTGGTGGTGATCGTGGTGGTTATGGTTGTGGTGTGGTAGTGGTAGTGGTGGTGGTGGTGTTTGTGTTGCTGTTGGTGGTGATTGTGGTGATTGTTGTGGTAATGGTGGTGATGGTGGTGATGACGGTGATGATAATGATGGTGGTGGTAGTGGTTGTGGTGGTGTTTGTGTTGTCATAGTTATTGGTGATGGTGTTGGTGATGGTAGTGGTAGTGGTGGTGGTGAGGTGAAGGTGTTGATGATGTTGGTGATGGTAGTGGTGGTGGTGAAGGTGTTGATGGTGTTGGTGATGGTAGTGGTAGTGGTGGTGGTGAAGGTGTTGATGGTGTTGGTGATGGTAGTGGTAGTGGTGGTGGTGAAGGTGGTGATGGTGGTGGTGATGGTGGTGGTAGTGGTGGTGGTGGTGAAGGTATTGATGGTGGTGGTGATGGTAGTGGTAGTGGTGGTGGTGGTGTGGTGGTGGTGAAGATGTTGATGATGTTGGTGATGGTAGTGGTAGTGGTGGTGAAGGTGTTGATGATGTTGGTGATGGTAGTGGTAGTGGTGGTGGTGAAGGTGTTGATGATGTTGG